GTACACAGGCGACCGCCAAGCGTGCGGCCAACAAGGCAGCCGCGGCGGCGGCGGAGGAGGCCGGCGCAAAGGCGCTCAAGGAGAAGGCCGCGGCCAACCTGAGCTCGCGCGCGGCGCGCGCCAACAAGCGCCGGAGCGAGTGAGCGCTGGGCGCTTGGGGGTCGATGGGGCTCACGGTTCATGCGCGTCGAACCTGCTCGGAGGCAACGCCACGTCTGAGTATCGAGGATGATCGACGCGTGCTCTGCCGTTATCGCCCTGCGGCCTGCGCACACAGAGTGTGGTTCGAGTGGTTGTTTGAATGTTCTGCCTGCCGCAAACAGACACGAGGCACGTCATCGAGAATTCTGCCGGCACAACGGGAAAGAAGTCAAACACTCGCACGTTGTCGCACTTTGGCGCACGTCCAGCGCGCGCCGCCTCCGCGTCCGGTCCCCCACCGGCACCGCACCCCGCACGCGATGTGCGGGACACGCGAAGGGCGCAGACACACACTCGGCGGCGAGCAGTCGCCGCAGCCGCAGCACGACGGAAGGCCCCGCACCTACTCACAGCTTCTCGCGTCCGCGGCGCGTTCTCCTCGTCACGCTGCAAGTCGAACGGTCAGGCGGCTGTTGGACGATCGCCTCCTCGCTGTGGCCCCTGGCTCGCCACCCCACGCGTCATGAGTGCCTATTTATAGCAGGACCGAATAGGAAGGAATAAAGAAAGAAAACGGCACCCCGTGAAGGGGTAACGACACATGCCGCCACCACACACGGTAAGCCGCTCCGTGCTTTCGCTGCCGTCCTTTGCCGTCCGTCCGCCCGAGTCGGGGTCGCGCCGAGTCATTTTAGAAGCGCCGGTTTCGCAAGGCTCGATTGGGCTGTAGCAGCACGCACGGCCAGCGCGGTTACCAGTTAGTTTGTTAGGAAGGTGAAGAACAGTCAGGCTCGGACTGGACACCAGCGCGGTATGGGTGGACGCAGAGACAGGGAGATGACGGCGCGCTGGAGCAACACACAGACACACACAAACTCACAAGACACTCAGCCAGCTGCGCTGCCACACATCCCGAGTGAGCGTACGGCACTACGCTACTCAGGGCCACGTCCCCCCTGTCGCCCCCCCCTGTCCCCCCCCCCCCCCCACCCAGCACACAAGGTGTCAAGGGCACAAACAGCAGCAGCAACAACACAAACAAGTAGACGACAGTGCTCGCGACGCGTGAGGCTAGAGCAGGCTGTATGTGTGGGGTCGAGTGAGGACTGAGGTGTCTATAGACGCTCCTATCACACGCCAGCGACCATTCATTCGCTAGCCCTACACTCGCATTCGTGGTTGATGGCAGTGCAAATGATGAGCTCAGCACCAGACCTGATTGGCGGTGCGCGAGTCGAGTGCGTGTGCTGAATCTAGGCCGCGACGCCGTAGTGGGCACTAACTATGACTTGGATTGGCATGCGGCCGCAGCGCGGCCGCAGCAGCTCGGCGGCGCGCGCGTGTCAGCGAGAAAATTGCCAGCTACTTGTATTCATGGGAATTTCGCGTATTGCGGCCAATGCTATCACGCCTTGCGACAGCCTGTCGGCGCTGCTGACCGTGCCATGCTGCACAATTGATCACCTGCATAGCTCGCGGCCTTAGTATCAAGCATTCAGTGACGACCTGATCGTACGGCCAGTAGGAAGGTGTCCTTCCAGCGCGTGCACGCTTCTGACGCAATGCGCGTCACAAACCTCGGATTGGCTGCTGGCACTCTCGAGGCTATGCCTACACAGCCTCGCGCGCATGGGCAGTCAAGAGGGACCATGAACCTTCTCAGGACAGCGCCGGTGCCTCTCTCTTGGACCGGCAGAAACTTGGTGGTCTCGTGTCACCAATGTGGGACCAGTGCGGCATCGCGCCATCGACCGCTCTGAACTGCGCCTCAGCACTGACCGGGAAGGCCGCCAAGTGGGCCAGCACAGTTCGCACATTGTGGCAGCAGTCAGCAGCGCATGTCTGATAGCTAGAGCAGCAGCATCAGGGTCGCAGGGTCGGATAGTTAGTGTCAAGCCTCTCGCCCGGCCGGCCGCGTGCAGACGTCGGCCTCTGCTGTCTTGAGTGATCTGTCGGCGGTCAGTACGACCGATCAGGTCGGAGTTTTCTGATGACTGGAGGGTCTATCTGTATGTACTCCTCGAGATCTCTCCAAATCTGCCCTCTGATAAACCGTGATCATTCGGGAAGTTAGTGCTAATAGAGACTAATAGAGCCTCGATCCTGTACCGTGTTTGTTATGACCCCCCCCAATGAACACACCAGTGAGGGAGGGCGAGACGATCGAGGGGTCCCGTACCATGCGGAATCGACCCTCTATCCAGTGCTCAAGTGCTCAAGCCGGGGCCCCGTTTCCGCACTGCGGCGCGGCGCACGGTGCCTCCGGGGGCCCCCGCGCTCCAACCCCAGAGAGCTGGATGGATGGGCAATGCTTAAAGAAAGAAAACAGAGAAACAAGGTGCTCCACAAGTGCTCCAAGTGCTCCAAGCACCAAGGTGCCCAAGTGCTCCAAGGGAGGGATGGGAGGACGGGGCACGCCGCCACCGCACAGGGATTTTAAGGAGAGGAGTGTGCATGAGGTTAGGTTAGAAAAAGAAAGAAAGAAAACGAGAACCCAAGGGGGGGATGGGAGTTGGCCTGTGCACGTTATTCTCGAATATCTTTGAGAATATAGAGGGTCCCGCGCACTCGTTTCATATTCGAGAATATTCTCGAGAATATAGATGCCCCGGACGGCTTTTCCCTCAAGAATAAACGAGCTTTCCGCAGCCCTTGACCTTAGTAGACCTCGAGTCCAAAGATATTCTTGAATATTCTTGACGTTACCGCTGCGGCGTCTGAAACGGTCTTGACGAGAGAGCTCGAAATAGCTATTTCCCCCCATCAACAGTAGGTCGATGCCGACTGGAATATTTTAAGTTGTGGAGGTTCTAAGCGGGTTTGGGAGCGACTTTTGGCACTTTGGAGCGATTTTGGGCCTCCGCCGTCTATAGCCGTATTCTCAATATTCGAGAATATTCTCGAGAATATAGAGGGTCCGGGGAGAATATAAGCAAAAGAATATGATAGTCCTGGGCGAGAATAACGCGCACAGGCTAAATGGGAGGACGGCACGCCGCCACCACACTGCACACAGGGATTTTAAGGAGAGGAGTGTGGTGCTAGCCGTCGCCCACCCTCGGGCGTCTACCTCTTCCTATCTCTCTTCGCAGTTTCTTTCTCGAGAGAGTTCTTTGTTTAAATTCTTTCTCGCCAATTCTCGCAGCGACCTTCATGCCACCTCGCTCGCGTTCTTCCCACTCTCGTCGTTCTCTCTCCCTGTCTGTGCTGTCTCTCTCCTGCTGTTTCATCCTCTGACTCATCGCTCTCCTCTGCCTTGTTCACGTTCTGCGGCGCCGCCGCCGCCTGCCGATCCCTTGCTCTCGCTGCTTCTCTCGCTAATCGGCGGAAAAAGAAAGAAAACAGACAACCCAAGGGAGGGATGGGAGGACGGCACGCCGCCGCCACCACACAGGGATTTTAAGGAGAGGAGTGTGGTGCTAATCGGCGGGCACCGCGAATTCTTCACACAAAAACACAACCCCGGCCCCAAGACGCACAAGCTCAGACAGTCGAGAAAGGGATAATAAATAAATAAATAAATACAACGGACATCCCAAGCTAGGGCTGGGTCGAGGACAGACACGTCCCCACCTTTGCAGGATTTTGCAAAAGCGAGGAGGGAGGGCGCATCGCCGCGCGGAGAGGGCTGGGCACAGGGCACAGGGGATCTCTCTCGCATAGGATATGCACTCGGCGGCACGAGGGCAAGGCTGGGCGTCCTATGTTTGTGCTCCCCCCCGGACCCCTCGCTCTCGGGCACTAACCATCTGACCACTCATCGACGGGGCTTGGCGAGCGGCCGCGCTGCGGGGTAGGGCTGGTGAGAATGGGCTCTGGCCACTCGCCCGTGCGGTTGTAACCCCGCATCTGTCGGACAGAGGCCTCGACCGCCCCTCGCGGCAAGCTCTCGAGCATCTCGAGCAGCTCGCCCGCCGCCATCGCCGCCTCGAACTGCTCCCTCATGCCGAGCGCGCCGCATACCCTGCGGACCGCCTCCTGCTGCACCTCGTCCGGCGTATCGGTTTCATAGCCGGACGAGTCAGCGGAGGCGGCCCGCTTGGCGGGCGGAGAGTCGGGCGACGGCGAGCGCGACTGGCGCGAGGGCCCGCTGCCGCGCGCGGACAGCGCGTTCTTGTCAACGAGACGGGGTCCAGCATCGGCACGGCCCCTGGCACCGCGGCCCTTGCCGCGCTGCTGCTGCCCACGCTTCCTGCCCGGGTTAGGGACAGTGAAGGAGCAGCCGCGCACTCCGCCGCCGCCCAGCGGCGGCGGCACGCGCGCGGCGGCGGCCGGGCCCGCAGGCGCGGCGGGCTGGCCACCCGCGGTGGCACCCTGCGGCTGCGATGCGGCTGCGGCGGCGTACGTCTTGGGCGCCGGCTCCGCGGCTGGCGGCGCGGCGGCAGGGGCGGGCGGCGCCGCAGGGCTCGCGCTCGCAGGCGGCTCCGTGGCCTGCGCCTGCCGCTCGTGGCGCACGGCGCGCTCGAGCTGCGAGTGCGGGTGCAGCTGTACGATGACGTCGCCGCTCTGCGTCGCGGTGAAGGAGACCGAGTACGGCGCTTCGCCGTCGTTCTTCTTCTCCGCGTAGACGAGCGCGTAATCGCACACCTGTCGTTGGTGGTCAGTGAAGATGGTCTCTGTGCAGCGCTCGGCGGAGCCGACGCGAGAGAAGTGCCGCCTGAACGCCATGCTGTTTGAATAGAGAAAGGGATAAATAAATAAATAAATAAAACGGGCACGCCAAACGAGGGGTGGGAGAAGGACAGGGTCCCCACCTGCACGAGCAGGATCTTGTAAGGACGATCAGGGATAGAAAGGGATAGACAGCATCGACAGCCGGCGCAAGAATTCTTCCCCGAAACCAAGCGGGGTGGGGTCCGCGCCCTCAGAACAAGAGCAGCAGTGCTGGCCCGTCGTCTCCGGATGGGAAACTGTGGTAGCCGTGAGGTACCCGCGGTCGCGGTCCCGGAGCGCACCGCCCTGGCGCCCTCGCGCCCAAAGACGAGCGCCAACGCCTCGATGAGGGCGCGCTCCTCCTCCTCGTCCAGCCGCGCAAGCGTTGGCAAGGTGGCCGCGGCGGGCGAGCCAGGCCGCAGCGAGGAGGAGTGGAGGGAGGTGATCCGGGCGGAGGACCTTGCCGCCTTTGGCTCCAACGAGCCCGGCTCGGCTGCTGCCGCCGCCCACTCGGCGCAGCTCGGCGTGACGATTGAGTATCTGCTCGAGTTTACGCGCGAGCACAACTGCTGGCATTTTCCGACGTGGAAGGTGGTGACGGACATCATCAAGCCGGCGACACGCGCGCGGCGGCAGCGTTTCGCCGAGCTGGATGCGGTGCAGGCCACCGGCGCCGTCGGTCGCGCGGACACGTTTGCGTCGCACTGCTGGGGAGCGCTGTGGGGCTTGCTGGTCGCGTCGCTGGCGGATCAGGCAGACGTGCGGCGGCGGGTGTGGGTGGACGTGTTCGCGGTGCGGCAGTGGGCTGGGAACGAGGCGGACCACGCCTACGACGCGGTGGTGCCGCACTGCACCTCCTTCGCCATCTGCTGCCAGGCATCATGATCAGAATGAACTACGGATTCATAGCATGACAATATACTCCTCCGTCGCCATCTGCTGCCAGGCATATTGGTCAGAATGAACTGCTGATTCACAGTGTGATAAGACCCCTCCGTCGCCATCTGCTGCCAGGCGTCGCCCACGAAGCAGATCCAGGGAGTCAACTGCCTCGCCTCCCTCTCCAACTCGGAGATGCTCGCGCGCAGAATCGACCTCGTGCCGGAACGTATCCGCACGCAGATCGCATTCCTGCGCGCGTGGTCGCTGCTCGAGATCATGCGCGCCGTCGAGGCGGAGGCGCGACACGAGCCGCACCCTGCCCCTCCGTCGGCCGCATCGTCCGTCTCTAAACTCGATACGAACTGCTCCGTATTCGAACTGCTCAGGCGCGCGACAAGCGATTCGCCGTCGTGATGAAGGCGTGCAGCGCCAGCTCGCCCTCTCCCTCTCCCTCTCCCTCTCCCTCTCTCTCTCTCTCCCTCTCCTTCTCCCTCTCCCTCTCCCTCTCCCTCGCCCTCTCCCTCTCCCTCTCGCCCTCGCCCTCTCCCTCGCCCTCGCCCTCGCCCTCGCCTTCACCCTCAGCCACCCCTACCCTTCCCCACCCCCGCACCCCCCTGCCCCCACCCCTGCCCCCGACGCCCCGCCGCCCTGCCGCAAGGTTGGGAACGTCGCCGCCTCCAAAGACTCCTCGGGCGGGTACGCCTTCCAGTCCAACTCGGACATGACCAAGGCGCTGCAAAACCTGATCGACGTGCGGCAGGCGACAGGCGACGAGGCCGCCGCACGGCTCCTCCCTCGAGTCACGAGTCATGGCTCGTCCGCAGGCCGAGGCGAGGGACCCGGCCGATGCCGTCCGCATCCTCGCCGCCGCCGCCGACTCGGACGGCTCGTTCGAGCTGCTCAACGACCGAGTCCGCTCCTGCATCACCGGCGCGCGGGCGTGCTCCTCCTTCCCGGAGATCCAGGCGGCGGCGTGCGGCGACGAGGTGCCCCCGCCTGAAGATGACTGACTAACGATGAGTGGTTCACATTGAATGACGAACTAACCATGACTCACGATGAGTCCCTCACGCTTCTTCCCTACCGACGAGGTCCTCGACCTGACTGGCTCTTCGCAGAAGAAGGTCAACGACTGGCTCAAGGCGGCGAGCGGCGCGGGCTACCCGTGGATCGCGCAGAAGCTGCTCGAGCACGGCGGGCAGCCAAACACGATCTGCACCGGGAACGTGACGCCGCTCATGTCCGCCGTCATGTCTGGCAACCTCGAGGCGACGCGACCTCTCCGCACACGCACGCACACAGTGCACACAGTGCACACAGTGCACACACACACACACACACACACACACACACACACACACACACACACACACACACACACACACACACACACACACACACACACACACACACACACACACTCCTGACACAGCCCTCCCCCCCCCCCCCTCTCAGGTGGCCGAGATGCTGCTCGCTAAGTGCCCCGACCGGCTCGCCGCCGTCAACCGCCAGCGGGACGACGGCACCACCCCCGTCAACCTGGCGGCGGGTGCGGGCCAGGCAGGGGCTGTCCAGTGGCTGATCGAGCGCGGCGCCGACGTCAACCTCATCCAGACCAACGGGAACGCGCCGCTCAAGCGCGCGTCGCAGAACGGGCACCCCTCCCCTGCGGCGTCCTCTGCCTCCCCGGGCTCCTCTTTCTTCAACCCCTCCGCCCTCCGCAGGTACACAGAGTGCTGCGTCCTCTGCCTGCGAGCGGGCGCCCACCCCAACCACGTCAACAAGCAGGGCGAGACCGCGCTGCACTACGCCGCCAAGAACAACCACTTCGACTGCGTCAAGGCGACGGCCGCACCCTCCCCGCACCCTCCCCGCCGCCGCCCCCTCCCCGCCGCCGCCGCCGGCCCTCCCCGCCGCCGCCCCCTCCCCGCCGCCGCCGCCGGCCCCTCCCCGCCGCCGCCCCCTCCCCGCCGCCGCCGCCGGCCCCTCCCCGCCACCGCGCGCCGGTGCCAGGAGAGCAGAGACAGGGCAGGCTCCGCCCCACCCTGGCCACCCCCACCTCGGCGCAGGCGCTCGTCGAGGGGGGGTGCGACTGGACCGTCGCCAACCCCGACGGGTACGTCAAGGGCACCGCGGCCGACTGGGCGGACCACACGGGGCACGTCGAGATCTCGGAGTGGCTGCGGAGGCAGCCGGCGGGGTCGGGGATCGGCACGACCTTCTCCTCGAGCGCCGACCAGGGGGCCTAGTTCCTCCCCGCCGCGATGCGCGAGCGGGGGGGACGCGAGGGGCATACGCAGATGCCCTCGAGCCGGGCTGCGAGTGGCCGGCGAAGAGCCACGGTCACGGCGCTCGGATCGGAAGGGAAGCAAGACTGAGGAGTTCGTCACAGCGCATTTCCATTGTGGAGGGGGCTAGATCCCGCTATTTGAGCACTTATTAAGCAATTGAAGTGAGCGGACAAATGAGAGATACCTTCCTCTCCTCCCAAGGGAAGTGCTGACCCGATTTCCAAATTCACACATCGCGGCCCCGGCCATGCATGAGCAATCCGTGAGTGCCCTACGAGTGCACTCGACGACATCATCCCTGAGCGTGCATGCTGACTTAATCGCAGATGCCTCTTCGGAGGCAGGTTTCCGGACGAGCAAGTTAGCCGCCCCTCCTAGCCAAATTGGTGGCGCGCCCCTTGCTGCCCCGCGTGGGCACTTGAGCGGCAATGGAGCGGGCACCCATGGAGACGGTAAGAAGAAGCCGTCAAACGCAAAGAAGAATGCAACACGCCAGGCCGCTGCCGCCCAGGCTCGGGCCGAGAGGGAAAAGGCCCTCGACTTTGCTCAGGGCGCAGGGCAGGTTGACGGCGTCTGGTACCTCGACTCCAAGGAACTGAAGCTTGCACTCGACAGGTGGGAGCGGAGGAACGACTCCGACGCAAGCTCTCTCCCACAATCTCTCGCACAATCTCTCGAACCCAGTGAGCGCGGCAGTGATGACTGCCCCATCCTCTCCGAACGAAGATTCGTTCACCGGCTTCTCCGACTGCGCTGATTGGTAGGGCCCCCAAGGGCCTAGAAATCGCGCCTCCCTCTCCCTTGTCTCCCAGCAGCTAAACGTACGACAAATGGCAGTGTGTCCTTGGGGGAAGCAGAAAGCACCAGCCAAACTTGCACGTGACAGCCTCGACCGACGCGCGAGATGTTTTCGTCCTTCTCGCCGTCGGCCGAGGCGCACCGCCTGGTAATCCACCACCGTCTCAACCTCACCATCAGGCCCGTGGAGCACACGGCCTCCTCTCGTCGATTCGCCGACTGCTCGGCCGGCGTCGTGCACCCAAGCCGCCAGGTCTGCTGCAACGCCACGTGCGGGCTGTGCGGCGGACATGGCTGCTCCGGTCGCCCCGGCGGGCCACGCGAGTGCTGCATGCCCGCTATTTTGCGTACGGGTCGGGTCTGCGAATCACGGGCGGACGTGGCCTGCATCCTGCGGGGCAGCAGCAACTACATCCGAGGTGACGGCGTTGAGCATCGCAGCAGCAGTGGCGAGGGTTTCCCCAGGGCTCCACCACCGCCGCTGCCATCACCTCAGGCGCACGCACAAACACAGGCCAATCTCGGCACGAAAGTCACACCGGCACTGAGCCATGACGTGGAAGCTGCCAGTAGTGATCCTCTACATCAGCGAGGAATGAAGGAGCAGCGAGAAAGGGGGGATCCCACGGATTCTTCAAGCTTTGCCAGTGGCAACTTGGCCCTTCTGTCTGCCGAATCGCAGTTCGAACAGACCATCCAGAGCTACAGTTGTCCATCCGGCACCGGTCTAAAATTTCCCCCTGCACATGCCTTCGCGAACAGCACCAAGCCACTGATAATTATGGCCGGAGAAGGGTTTACTGGCACCAGGGGTGTACATGCAGCCGTAGCGCAGCTGGGCTTTGTCTCGGCTCATTGGGACCAAGTGATGGTCCCTAGTCGTGGGACGCCGTTCAGGGCAGAGAGAGACCCAGTGCTGACGGAGCGCTTCGTTACAATGAGACGCTTCCTCACGCAACTCAAGCTCGGGAGTCATATCTGGAGGCACACGGATTTCCGCATGTTTGACTTTGTAGACTGTGTGAGCGACCTGCCCATTACGCAGTTCTTCCCATTCCTGTTTGCAGCCTATCCTTATGCCAAGGTGATCTTGACTGTGCGCGACCCAAACAAATGGGCCAAACAGCGATCTAAAAAGTGGAGCCGGACAGATCCAGCCCCCTTGCAAACAATGTTCCACACTGTGGGAGACGCCGTTCACATGAACACTTCGGTGGGTACAATGAATTGGAGATCTCCGTACGTGTTGCAACTGCTTTATGTGATGCACAACTTGATGGTCATGTGCATGGTGCCCAAAGAGCAGCTGCTGGTTTTGAATGTGTTTGAGGAAGAGCCACCCACACTGTGGGCTCGGTTGGCACGCTTCTTGGATGCAACGCCCCCGCCCACCCGGTCCGCCTTTCCTAAAGGGGCGCATCGTGCAGTGCTCATCCACCCAAACTCTTCGGTGCTCACGGCGGATGGGAAAGAAATTGGACCGGTGCACCAAAAAAACACAGTGCAAAAGGCGACAACTTGAGCTCAAAATTATTTATCTTAAACGATTTAATAATTGTGTCATCCTCGCAAGACGGTTCAATATCTCTGCGGCCGACGGTACTCACACGGCTGCCTACTCTCCACATCACCACATGCACACATGACATTGTACACGTAAAGACATACCTCGCAATCAGAGTACAGCTTCAGCTACAAGGCGTGCGCTCGCGATGCTGCAGCGCGGCTCGTACGCCGCAACGCTCGGCTAGCACGGGCGGGCGCCACCCCCCGCATCGGCGGATCACGCGGCCGCCACAGCATAGACGCATGCCTCCCCCGACACAAGTCCTACTCGGATTCGGCGCCCGCCGCCCTGCGCGCCGCAGCGAACGGCGGCGTGGCGCCGACGGGGCCGCGCCCCACGCTGCAGAAGGGGACGGCTGCGCGGCGCGACGTCTCACGCCAGCTCTATCGACCTGGGGGTGCCGGCTGCTGCGCGGAGCGCCGGGGTCGCCGTTGCCGCCGCCGCCGCCGCCGCCGCTGCAGGCGTGGCTGCCGCAGGCAGCTTGGCTGCGGAAGCGGCGGCGGAGTCGGCGGCCCGCGCCGTCTTTGGCAACGGCCCTCCGGATGATGAGGGCTGGGCGCCGAGGAGGAGGAGGAGGGAGTGCGCTCCTTCGTCTTTGCGGGCAGCCTGAGGGCCCAACTTGGAGCACTTGGAGTGCAGTCGGCAACCTCACATCCAGGGCCGGGGAGCTAAGAAGCGCACCCAGCGGGCCGGATGATCGGGATCGGGTTGCGGGCAAGAGAGCCCTAGCCCTGGGGGGTGCGCGTTCGCAGGGAAAGGGCCATAAAGTAAACACGGGTCTCCGAGGGTTGGTTCATCTGAAGATCCAAATATCTGAAGATTCCAATATAGGATTCTCCCCAAACCTTGCTCAGCTGATCCAGCCTGGGGGGAAGGCCAGCCCTGGGCAAAGAAACCAGTACCTCATCGGGCTTCCCTGAGCGTCACAGCTCGGTGATCGCGCCAGCCGGACACCACTGTAACGTCCGTTCCGGGCATTTGAACGCGACCTTCGGGGGCAAAGACATGGGCTCTATGGCTCAGACTGGACTCCTCTTGGTCCCTTCTGATGCCCTAGGCCACACCTGGGCCTTACCCGGGGTCCTAGGGGGCGGGCAGGGTTTGCCCCCCGAAACTGGCATGAGGCACCTACCGGCTCGTGCGACAGCCAGCCGCTCTGGAACAAGGCTCGCGCTCGGCGCGTACGGCCTCAATTCGCGCCATTCTTCTTTCTGCCTAGCCGCCCTGGACCGGCTGCACGCGTGCGCGAGCGGTGGACCGTTCGCGACGCTCGACGGCGCCGCCACCGGCTCTCGACGCCTGCGCTCGAAGGCCCCCGCACGGGGGGTCCCGGCCGACGTCATGCGCGTCCGGACGCGGCCCTCCGTACACGGAAACAGGATACTGAAGGCATTCCCGAACTCAAAACAGGATACTGAGGGCAGATATGAGCTCAGCTCAGTGAGATCTAGCTGCACATACCCTTAGTATCCAGAATAGTCCAGTCTGAAAAAAGTCGGTCCGACCGCGCGGAGCCGTCTGGCTCTCTGCAGAGCCCCCGCGGGCACGCCTGGTCCGCGGCGGCGAGGAGGGAGCGAGCGCCGAGAGCAGCGTCAATCCTGTGTGCGAGGGGGAGGGGAAGACACTTATGCTAGTAGGTCAGGGAGGTGTAGATGGTCGGGCTCAACCACCTGCACTCGGATGAGCCGCAGCCTAATCTCCGCCGTCGCTGCAGCAGGCAGCAGCTTGCCAAAGGAGCCGCCGGTCGTCGACTTGCCGTTGACCTCGGCGATGAAGTCGCCCACGCAAAGCCCGGCGGTGTCGCCAGCGCCACCCTCGACCACGTTGGTGATTTGGTGGTTGTTGGGGTCGACAGAGATTCCAAGCGTCCCGCCCTTGCGTGTGAGCGTCAGGGCGCGCTTCTTCGCGCCAGAGGAGCCGCCAGCCTCGTCGTCGGCGGTACTCCGCTTGCGGTGGGGAGCAGAGTCCGCGGCCGGCGTGATCAGTTTAAGCGCCTCGTCAAACTTCCAGCCGGCCTGTTGATCGCGCGGCACGTAGACTCCTTCGTCGGTGGGGAGGTTGAGGTCGAGGAGGCCGAGCACCGACTCCATGTGGTACGGGGCGGAATCGTCGACGTTGTACTTGAAGGTGTAGTCGCCGTCCGCGCCCGACTTGGCGTAGAAGTTGCAGTGGATCTTATAGTTGGCTGCCTTAGCCTCGTCGAACGGCACGGGGAGATAGGTCCGCACGTAGCTCCCCCTCTTGCCGCCCGACTTGCAGAGCATCTGCTGCACGCGGCCGCACCACCAGTCGAACCTACCCGCGCTGTCGTACGTGGCGATCACAACGTTCGTGCTGATCTCGAGCATTGGTGTTGCAATTGTGAGCGGCGACTCCGTCGGCGGGTCGGCGGCGGGCGCGGCGGACGCGGCGGTGTCAGAAGCGGCGGGGCCGGTGCCGGTGCCGGTGGCAGCGGCGCCGGGCGCAAGGCCGGCGGGGCCGGTGGCAGCGACGCCGGACGCAAGGCCAGCTGCGGCGGGCGCAGGGGGGAGGGCGGCAGAGGCGCGGTCGCGGTCGAGATCGAGCTTGGCCTGCTTGGCTGCGGCCGTGATCTTCTCTAGGCGCGACGTCGGTACGGCAAATTGGAGGACCTCGTGCCTCTCGGCTTCTCCTATGCGTGATGCCAGCAGAAAGGACGCTGATTCATGCTCAAATGAGGCACTGCGTGTCTCCTCGCAGCTGCAGCTGGCATCCGCCGTGGACTAATAAAACTGCGATCTCAGTGCCCCAGCACGCAAAATTTTCTCTGCGGGACTACCGCCCCGCACCCCGCCCGGGATGAATTCACACCTCTCAACAGCTGTTCACACCTGGAAAACTCATCGGATTTGGGCCACTTGCCTGGGCGACCCCGGACCCTTGGCGGACGCGCATGACGTCGGCCGGGACCCCCCGTGCGGGGGCCTTCCTGCGCTCGGCGCTCAGGCGCGAGAGCGCCACATGTCTCCCTCTCTCGGCGCCGCATCTCGCCGCTTCCGAGGCCCCCACTCGTGCACGCGGAGTCGAGAGAGCCGTCCCCGCCGCGCAGGTCGTATCTGGCGAGCTCGGCGCCCTATGGGCGGGGCCTGTTCCAGCGCTGCACGAGCCGGTGAGAAGAAAATACGCCGTGGGCGCTAGAGAGCTCTACGCGCTGGTCTGTGATTGGTGTCTTGCAAGCCCTGGAGGCTTCACACCAGCGCGGCGTAGAGCGAACCTCACTCCTTCCGGCACGTAATGCCGGATCGCGCGCCCTCTCCGGCGTATGCCGGCGCCGCGGTTGGCTGGCTCACTAAGAGGCGATTCGCCGTACCGCCGGCTGTCGAAGCCGCGGCCGCGCAGGCTGTGCTCCCGGCAGCAGGGCAGGCTGATGAGATGCAGTGGCTGCTGTCGTTACTTCCCGGCCTCAAGGAGCGAGAGCGCCGCGCCCTCGCGAGACACGTGGAGAAGAGCACTCGCGCCGTAGTAAGCTGCGTGCCGGACGCTGCGTCTAGCGCATCTGAGACGGAGGGGCCTGCGGCGGCAGGGTCCCTGTCGTGGCCAGACGACGTGGCCTTCAGCAATGACTACGAGTGGGACGGGCGAGTGCCACCCGCCGTATTGGAGCGGTACGGACGCCGCGGGGTGCGGCGGCGACGGCGCGCTGGCCCGTGCACGCGCGTCGAGGTGCGAAAGATCGACGACGAGAGCCACCCAGCGCACGGCGAGCGCGGTCTGTTTGCGGCGGTGGCGCTGCCGTGTGGCGCGCGCGTGCTCGACTACGTCGGGTGCGTCAGCCTCGGCGAGCACGAGGACCGCAGCTCTGACTACGTCTCCGAGTTTGGCGAGGAGGGCGAGCTCTGCCTCGACGCGAGGCGAGTCGGCAACGAGGCGAGGTTCGTCAACGACTTTCGCAACACGGGGCGGCGGCAGAATGTGGAGTTCCGGCTTCGGCGCGCCTCGGACGGCGAGCTGCGGCAAGGTGTCTACGTCTGCGCGCGCAACGGCGTCGCTGCGGGCGAGGAGCTTCTCATCTCGTATGGCAAGTCGTACTGGCGCGCGAGAGTCGGCGACCTCGACGCCTTCATCACGCGGCTGCCTGGGGAGTCGGGCGGCGCAGGGGCTGTGAGGGGGAGAGACTCGTTGTAACTCGCCCAATTTTTGTCATTTTTGTAAAACGCGTCGATCGCCGTCACGCCGTCTCGGCGGGGGTGTGCGCGCGGGTCTCGCCGCATCCTGTGGGCGCACGCCGCACCGCTTACCCCGCTTTAGCCTTTTTTTCACGCCGCGTCATGTCGCGTCGCCTCGCCCGCGGGTTGCGCCTTCTGGTCCTGCTCGTGGTCACCGTCACCTGCCGCAGTCTCGCCTGCAGCGGCCACTCGCGCCGCGCGTCGGCACGCTCGGGCCGGAAAGAGCCTGCGGAAGCCGGCGCCCCACAGCTCGCTCCCGGAGCTAGCAAACGGCGGAGTCCGCATGGCACCGGCACGGCCGCCGCCCCCACAGCTCGCTCCGAGGCCGCACCACCCTGCATGCGCGGCCGCAGACCTGCTCGCGGCCTTGTCCAGCCGCAGCGCCTCGCAGAAGCGGTCCGGGCCGATGGCTCGCTCGCGCGTCAGCAGCGGCTCGAGGGCGCAAAGAAGCTGACGCCACTCGTCCTCGTCGAGCGGGGCGGGCTGCAGGTGGCGGCAGGTCAGCAGCTGCTCGACCAGGCCGATGTGCAAGTGCGGAGGCACGAAGGCGAAGGCGGACACCAGCTTGAACGCCTCCTTGACCTCGGCGGCGGTGACGGCCGCCTCGACCAGCGCTGCCTCCTCCTCGTCCGGCGCGAAGTATGCCTCGACGGTCGCGGCCGGCAGGCAGCCAGGCGACTCGGCAAAGACCGCCGCCGCGTCGGTAGGCGCGCCGCCGCCGCTGCTACTGCTCTCGCGGTCCACGCACTCCTCGTAGCGGCCTTCCCGCGCAAAGAGGCCGCGGCAGAGCGCCAGGATGCCGCCGGTACGGCCCTCGCCCTCGCCGTCCGGCGGCGCCGGAGGCAGCGCCACAGCTCCATCCGCATCAGTCCACGGCACATGCAGCGCAGCGGCCGCGCCGCTCGGCTCGCCGCCGCCAAGCACGCCGCCGGCGCCGTCGCCGTCAGCAGGCAGGCTTGTCGGCAGCAGCGACTGGCGGAAAGCCATCGTGAGCTCCGCCGCGGCGCCGCGCAGAGGCACGAAGCTGAGGTTCGTATGGACCTCGTCCGCGAGGACGTGCGGAACGCACGGCTGAGGCGGCTTGCACCGCCGGAGGGCGCCCGCAGCCTCCACCGTCGCCTCGAGGCGGCAGGTCGCGGGCCCCCCGGGCGTTAAAACGCTGCGCGCGGGCCCAGCCTCGTCCTCGACGCTCTCCCTCAGCGCGTGCAGCATCGGCAGAGCGACCTCGTGCCCTGGGAAGAGCAGCCATCGGTCGGCGCAGACGCGGCCGGCCTGCGCCACGCAGCTGCGCCAGAGCGTGGCGTGCCCGCGCGCCACCTCGCACACGCTGCCCTCGAAGTTTGCGCCGCAGCTGCCGCAAAAGGCGACGTCGCCAGTGAAGAGTGCGGGCGTTGGGCTGTCGATGGCAAACATCAGCGAGCCGCGCGTGTGGAAGCAGGCGCCGCCGATGGCGCGCACCGCCAGGGCGGGGCCAACGTGCACGACGTCGCCGTCCGCCATCCAGTGCGTGCACGCCTGCACGCTGTCGTCCTTTCCGCCGTACACGCGCATCCCCTCGAAGCCGGGCCTCTTGAGCATCTCGGCGTTGCCGCCGGCGTGGTCCCAGTGGTGGTGAGTGGTGAAGATGGCGACCGGCTTCACCGCGCCCGGCCCGAGGGCAGCGCTCTCGAGGGCGGCAAAGACGGCCTCCGGGTCGGACGGGTCGACAAACGCGAGCGGGAAGGGCGGAGGCGCGGTGCGGTCGACGAGGATGTAGCAGTAGTTGTCGTCGAGGGTGGGCACGATGAGGACCTCCGCCGCCTCCGCCGCCTCCGCCGGGCCGGAGGCGGCGGCGGCGAGCGGTCCGCCCGCCATCACTCGCCGCAGAGGCACCACCGACTCTCGCCCGTCGAGCATGGCGCCCTCGCGGAGCTCGACTCGCGAGAGCTGCGAGTGGCGGAGGATCTGTCGGCCGGCCGTATCGCGCGGCCGCGAGCGCAGACTCGAGTCGAACAGCTTGGTCCCCACCGGCGCCGGCAGCACGTGCTTATAGAGCAGCGAGAAGGGCAGGCTCGGAAACATGTACCGCATGATTGCCTGCTTGGCGCCGGCGGCCATCAGCAGCTCGGCGGCGGGGAGAAAGACGAGCATGATGGGCGGGAGCAGTACGAGTGCGCCCGCGCCAATGAGAGGCAGCGCCACCGCGACGAGGCTGACTAGCAGTGAGGCGGGGAGGATGTCGTGGAGGAGCGCCCGCTGCACCCGCGCCCACCCGCTTAGCTGAGCCACAGGCCGCTGTTCGCTCCAGCACCGGTCCAGAAAGGCGTGGGCGGCGCGGTAGGGTACTCGGAGCGGGAAAGTGACGAGCCACGCGGCGCCGTAGATCAAGCCGACTGCAACGGCAATGATCGCGAGAGCCAGCAGGCAGATTGTCGTGAAGGCGTCGAAAGCAGACTGGAAGGCGCGGCGCTGACGGTCGGGCAGCGCCGGCTGGACTGATCCAGCAGTGACATGGGAGATCTCCGTTGGCTGCTCGGCCGCGCCACCTTTGACAGCGGTATCGATCTTGCACAATGGGAGAGGCGTGCGAACGGTCACCGTCGTGCAGGCGCCGCTCGGAACCTCAAAGGTCATCTCCGGCAGATTTGCGCTCGGCGGCAAGCGGGTACGAAGGACCTCGCCCGGTTTGGCATCAGGAGGCAAGCGCACCGTTAGCACGAGAGCAGCGCTGCTCGGTGCTACCAAGCCACAGCAGGACCCTCGACTGCCACAGACAGCCTCGCCCTGAACCTCGACGCTAGGCGACGTCATCTCGTGTTCCGCCATGCGACAGGGTTGGTGCGCCAGTAGGACAGGAGCCGGCCGTGCGGACCTGGCGCAGCGCAGCTGAAGGCAATCCGCGCCGCGCGAGAAGAGAATTCAGGAGTACAATCTGAAACTGTGAGGAGACAGCACAACGCTGCGCTGTATAGGTCACTAGAGACCCACACCATCGCTACATCACCACAACCACCAAGCCGGATACAAGTCGATGACAATGTGCGCGGCAGGACAAACCAAACATGAGACGGTTACACAAGGACGGTCAGGCTACGGTCAGGAAGTAGGTTTGAGCTCACACTCTCCAACACTAGGTTTGCCGGTTACCCGCCGGCGTCTCGCGGGGCTGGCTAACTAAGCGTCCAACCTTGCGTCTTCGCGAAGGATGGTCTTGCTTGTTGGCAAGACTTGCGCGCTAAGATGATCCAGTGAAGGGGCCAAAGCGCGGCCGAGTGGGCGGAGAGAGAGAAAGGGGAGATAATGAACAGGAGCTCGTTGTGGAGCTCGGTCATGGCGCGCCGCGAGCTGCAATCCGGGCTGAGCGTCGCGGGGCGGCGGCTTGAGCGGGCGCGGCAGGCGCGGCGGGCGCGGGAGCGGCAGCGGGGGCGCCCCCTTGCGGCGCGGCGATTGGGCCGTTGGGAGGCCTCGCCGCGTTGACGCGGATGAGCGCATCAGGGACGTGAGGACGATCTTCAATGCCCCGAACGTTGATGTTGCGCCACGGGCCGCCGACGTCGGAGATGGCAGGCTCAGTCTCAGACGTCCAGACGGCAGAGACGCTCGTAGAGGCGCATTGGACTTCTTGCCAGAGGCGTTGGACAGCGGGACGGGCTAGCGCGAGGAGGCGAGACGAGGAAGAGACAGCAATGAGGTAGAGTGGCATTGCCACGTCGAACAGATGCCCAACACTCCCCCACGACGTGGTAATCGCCACACAAGGCAGAGAGGGCGTGTCGATCGTCGCGTGTTCATCGCGTACAGCTCCGGTCGTGTCGAGCGGCGACGTCGGAAGTAGCGGCGGCGAAAGGCAGGGTCCACATTCGGTGCGAGATCTTTGCGGTAACTGCCGTTGCAGCAGCCCGAGAGCTGCTAGCGGAGGCAGCAGCTGCGATGGTGGTCCGTAGGCGAGGAGAACGGACCGGTAAGGAGAAGCAAGAGGGGATACTCGTGTCCACACAGCCGCAGTGCTGGCGGAGATGCGCTCTGTCGCAGAAGATCCGCAAGCACCCAAGTTGATGTTGCGGTTGTACTCATTCTGCTCAGCCTCCGTGCCGAGCAGTTGGCGGCCGCTGTGCCACCGTGCGCCGAGCCTCTGTGCCCATCCAATCACCACGGCTCGCGCAGGTGCCCATGGTGCCAGCCAACGTATCGAGCGTAAGCCGGAAATGCTGTGCGGCAACACATCTCGCTTGTGTGCCGCACCAGCTCTCATGTCGGCCTCAGTGCCGCACTGCTCACTCCGTGCACTCACCGGTCGGTACCATGTCAGGAGACGGAACACGGAGGAGCTGTATAGGTCACTAGAGACCCACACCATCGCTACATCACCACAACCACCAAGTCGGATACAAGTCGACAAAGGATTTCTGAAACGCAGAGCTGCCAGAACACTTTAAAATCCCTGTGTGGTGGCGGCTTGCCGTCCTCGCATCCCTCCCTCTGGGCTGTTTTCTTTCTTCTTAGCACACTGGCACGACAAACAAGGGCGTGCATTGGCACACAGAAACACCCTCGCACGACACTGTTAGACACTCTGTGCACGGGACTGGCACAGAGAACGAACACAGAGAACGAACACAAAGAAAGAAGATCACAAGACGTGACACGTGAGCAGCGGCGGAACCCCCGGTACTGCTACTGGATCGGCTCCAATCGCTGAGGCCTGAGCCGTTCGCGATTCGTTTTACGTTTATCCCAAACAAATCACCCTGAGTAGTTAAAAACTCCGCGCAGCCAGCGCAAATGCCTTAGATATGCGCGTCACTCGCCTCTACATGCAGTAGAAACTCGCGCGCGCGCGCGCGCGCGCGCCTAGAGCCTAGTCGAGTGCCGAGTTGCCCTGAACATGACCTCGATAGATGCGGACAGACTCGCCGCTCTTCAGCACTTTCGTCAGGTCGGCCCTCGACTGGGCCTCGGGCGGCGGCGGTCTTGCCGTCTCGATGGCGCGAGGGGAGGGCCGGCTCGGCGGGATGCTCTGCGGCGCAAGCCAGACCCGGCGGGCCTTGAGCAGCGCGCTCACTTGCGTCGAAGTGTTGACGATGGACCCAGAGCTGCTGCCCTCCCGCAGGTACCATAGCACCGGCGGGCCGCAGCCCGCGTCGTGGAGCTCGGGTAGGTCCGCGTCCTCCAGGGCCGACGAGATGCTGCTCCTCACCTCAGCCAGCCGGGCGGCGTGCTCCACGTCCACGAGCAAGGTGTTGACGACGCGCCCAAAGCGCGCGAGCTCGCTCTCCTCGTCGCTGCCCTCCCCCGGCTCTCGGTGACCCGACGCCGTTGTCACCGCAACAGTCAGGTATCGTCCATCGAACGCGACGGTCGCCTCTGCTCGCAAGCTCTCGCGTCTGGTAGAAACGTCCCCGCCTTGGCCGGCGAGCGTCGCAGGCGCCGCCGCCGTGCCATCGCCCGCATGTCGGGTTGGTGCATCCGACCTGGCGCCAGGTGCCGGTTCGTCCTTTCGCTTCTTCCTTCGTGGCGCCTTGGAAGGCTGCCGTGCCACGCGGCGACGCGGCTTGTCGGAGGGCGGCTCCACCTCACTTTGAGGCTGCTCGACGCGCGGTCCGGGCGGCAACGGGTGCGGTGGATCCGGCAACGCCACGGGCGGTGGCTCTGCGGGCGAGGAGCCGGGCAAGCATTCTGGAGATTCCATCTTAGGTACCTCTGGCTCTGGTAGCACCACCTGCAGCAGCGTGTCGTGCAACAGCTCCGCTTCCCGGTGCGCGTGCTGCTGCGCCTTGCTGCCCTTCTCAACTTCCTCGGCATCGGTCGCGAGGTCGTCGCCATTGATGACCCGCCTGCGCTCCTGAACAATCGCGTGGTAGACTGCCTCCGGAACCCGACGGAGGAAGCGGCTCTCCTGTACCAGCGACTGCTGTGCGCCCTGCGCAACCACGGCCCACCCATCCTTCTTTGGGCGGCAGGAGTTGCCACACCACCCGCAATTGTAGACCAGCAGGGCCAGTGCGCCGGCTGCAAGCCACACCGTCCCACCCATCCTCCAGGGGCTGTATGCGGCTGGCTGCAGGGGAGGCGGTGGCAGGAGTGGTGGCGGTGCATTTGGAGGCCACCGCGGCCCTGGCGGTGGCGGTGGGTGCGGCGGCGGCGGAGGTGGAGAAGACGGAACGGGTGGAGCCGGTGGCGGCAGCCCAGGCGCGCACGGCCTGGCGGGTCTACCCGTGCAGCGTGTTTGGATTGGCTCGCCTGCCATTACTGGTGCCCAGACACAGACGAGCATCCCCTTGGCTGACGCGGCCGTCATGGCTTTCTCGCAGTCCTCCCGCTCCTGGATCTCGAAGCACCGATTTGGAGTGATGACCTGCGTGCGGCCAGGAGGGGGGGTTACCCCGGGAGTGCGGCATGCGACATCGACCATGCTGTGGGGGGCGAGCCTTTCTCCCCTCTGTCTCACACAGCGGGTTGCCCGCGCTCCGCGGCCTGCGCGGTGGCGCTGGGAAGAGAGCGCTGACGTTAGTGGCCGGCAGCGCTCGCAGCAGCCCAAGCTTGCCCACATCGGGCGTGGTCCAGTCGTCGAGGAGTACGCCGCCCACTCCGCCTGCCTCCGGGCTCAGGGCAGAGTAAAAGATTCCGAGGTGCTCCTCGGTCGCCCAGCGGATGAGCTCCTCCAGCCAGGGCTTGCCGCGGTTGGCCAAGGCAGCGGCTGCCTCGCCGATCACGAGCGGTGCGCCGGTCTGCCCGCGGACAAAGCCAAAGTGGTGCGTCCAGATGTCGCGCATGGACTGCGGAAAGTCGGCGTCCGAGAAGTATTCCGGCTTCTCGGCGTGGCTTCGCGTCGAGAGCGACGGGCCGTAAACGTGCGGCGCGTAGACGAGCTTGCTTTCGTTGGAGAGCGCAATCGGGAACTCGCCCGCCCCAATCATGTTGCCGCCCCATTGGACGCCCTTCTCCTTCGGCGGCAGGCTCCCCGTGCCCTGCGCAAAGACAAGGCTGCTGGGGCACAGCTCCAGAACGTGGTTGCCTACCCGCTGCACCACGTCCGCCCAGTCGTCCCACTCCTGCCCAAACGGCTCGTTGAGCACGTCTATGCCGAGCAGGTTCCACGGGCGGCTGGAACCGCGGCACACGCGCTTCATCAGCCCCGACCACGCGGCGAGGACGCGCGACGGCGTCCACTGCCCGTCCGTCCAGCGACCATTCCACTTGCCGGGCCACTCGTGCGGGTAGCCGCTCTTGATGCGGTGGCAGCCGAGGAGCACGAGCAGGTTGCGCCTCGCCGCCATCGCCACGATCGCCTCGAGCATGCCGACGTAGTCCGTGCCGGCGAGCTCCACAGAGTGGGCTGCGGCCGAAGACGGCGTCAGCTCGTTGCTCTCCACGTTCTGGAGCGAGAAGGTGACTCGGAGCGCGTTGAAGCCATTGGCCTGCACAAACTCCATCAGCTCGCCGAGTGAGCGGTGGTTGAGGCCACGGGGCACCCGCGCCTCGCTCTCCGAGCCGAACCAATTCAAGCCCTACCAAGGAGGGCGGTGCCTCAGCAACGGGGCCGAGCAGCAGACACTACCGGGCGAGTGTGTGTGGCAAGCCTTGAGGCGCAGCTCCTGCCCGTTGACGAAGAGCGAGCCGTTCCGACCGTAGAAGTCGGCAACTCGCGGGACAGGCGAAGACGTGACAGCGGCCGTCGCCGCCTGCGCCGCGAAGAGCGGGAGGAGCAGCACGAGCGACAAACGGCCCGGCATAGACGCGCCACGACGATAGCCGTCGCGGCGGGCACCTCGGAGCGGAGTTTTCTTAAAAAAGAATGCGATTTCCTTTTGTCGTGTATGCCTCCCTTGGGTTGTCTGTTTTCTTTCTTTCTTTTTTGGGTTGTGAGGTGGCGGCGTGCCGTCCTCCCATCCCTCCCTTGGATTGTCTGTTTTCTTTCTTTCTGGCTCTTACGTACAGAGAGAGAGAGAGATACGTACAGTCTCGTAGGAAAGAAAGAAAGAAAACAAATAACCCAAACGAGGGATAGGGGAGGAGGACAGGGTCCACACCTGCACGAGCAGGATTTTGGAAGGACGATCAGGGGCACAGGTGGGGCTCTCCTGCTCCTGACACACGACTCGCAGCGCGGTGCGCGCCGCGCTGAATGGTTTCTTTAGTGCTCGCGTTCCGCGTTCCAGCCGTGCACACTTTAGCCAATGGTCAAGCCGGTCAAGAAAGGCAAAGGTAAGGCGGTGGCGCCCGAGCTGGACGCCGAGGCGCTGCTCGCGTCCGCACGCGAGAGCCTCGACCGGCTCGACCCGAGCGGCGCGGCGGCGCTCTGCCGGCAGGCCGTCTCGGCGGATGCGTCCAGCGTGTTGGCGTGGGACACGCTGGCCGAGGCGTGCCTCACGTGCGGCGAGGCGGAGGAGGCGGGGAGAGCCCTGCACCGCTCGATCGAGCTGAGCCCCGCCGGAGCGCCCGGCCGCTACATGTACCTCGCTCAGCTCTCCGACTCGCCCGCCGAGGCGGTCGGCTGGTTCGAGAAGGGCGTGGCGGGGCTGCGAGCGGAGCGGGAGGCGCTGCAGCAGGCGAGCGGCGAGCGCTCGGAGCTGCAGGCGGCGTGGGCCGAGGCGACGTGCGCGCTCGCCGTCGGCCTCTGCTCCGCCGCCGAGCTCTACCTGACGGACCTGTGTGACGAGCCGGAGGCGGAGGGGCGGTGCGACGCGCTGACGGGGGAGGCGCTGCAGCTGGTGTCGGACCTGCCTGCCGAGGCGGTGCAGGTGGTTGAGCCCTTCCAGACGCGCGCATCGCTCAAGCTGAGCCAGGAGGCGTACGACGACGCCGAGCCGCTGCTGCTGCGCGCGCTCGAGGTCGTGCGGCGCGCTGAGGAGGCGGAGGAGGGTGGCGGCGGGGTGGAGATGCCGTCGCTGGAGCTGCGACTGGCGCTCGCAAAGATGCTGCTCGAGGTGGACCGGCACGGCGACGCGCTCGAACTGCTGCAGGGCGCGCGCGTCGAGGCGCGCGGCCGGCGCAGGCGGAGGGAGGGGAGGGAGGGGCGTGGGCTGACTGTCAGTCCCCCGGCGCGCAGGACGACGACTCTGCGGAGGTGCGGTACCTGCTCGCGACCGCGGCGTTGTGCGCCGGCGAGGTCGACCTCGCGCGCGAGGAGGCGAGCGGAGCGCTCGAGTGGTTGCAGTCGGAGTGGGCCCCGGCCGAGCAGGCGGAGTGGCTGCCTCAGCTGCGGGAGGTGCTGGCCGAGGCGGAGGGGGGAGAGGCGGCGTGACGCCGGGGGAAAGCGGGGCGGGGATTGACGGCGCTCTCGCTCGGCCGCTCTCTGTATGACCGCTCTATGGCTATATCGATCAAAAGGAGAGATATACGTGTGTAATGTCGCCGCGGTTCGATCCCGGGGCGGAGAAAGGACTACCACGCTTTCCGTTTGGTTTCAAGGCACAAAGGTACAAGACACACACCGGCTTCTTCAGCAGAGGTCAAGGTGGAGACAGGTGACACGAGAGGTCCACAAGGCGGCCCGCGCAACTATGCGGCAGGGCGTTCCTAGAATATGGGCAGGGGGGTTGACCTACTGCGCCCGCCCGAGCTCGGACCCCCGTGCCCAGCCGCTCCGCCCGCAGCCCCGGAGCGGGGAATTGATCGAGAGGTGCACCCCGGCGCCCTTGAACTGCTGCGCTTGGCGGAAGAAGGTTGCCTCGCGAGCGCTCATGAAGGACGGCGCCGCGCCGACGCCGCCCTGCATGCTGTTGGAGAAGCGGGCCGCCTGCGCGCTCGCGTGGGCACGGCCGGCACCCTGCCACAGCGCGTTGAGGCGGGCACGGGCGACGGCGGGAGGGCTCATCGTTCAATATTGCGTCTGCGGACGGCGAAGGGGGGTGTGAGAGGTCAAGAGGTGAAGAGGTGAAGAGGGGACAAGAGGGGTAGGTGGAGAGGGGGAGGAGTGGTAGGTGGAGAGAGAAGGGCGGCAGGCGGCGATGAAACCTAGGTGAGATCGGCGGCGAAGATGCTGAATCCTCGTATGTGTGCAAACACATCGCGTTCGGGCGCGCCTCCATTTCTTTTTTCATCACTCCTCATTGCAAACCCTTCTGGAACTCATAAATAAATAACCCTAATGCATGCACAGGCGGCGGCGGCTTCGCACCACACACATCATAAACAAAGGAAAAGAAAAGCAAAATAAAGCACGGGATTTGGAGCTGGGAAGCGGACCGCCGCAAGCGGCGTGTGGCGTGGAGCGGTTGAGCATCCCTCCGGGGGCCCCTCTGCGCCGGGGAGGCGTTGTTGGAGGCTAGGACGCAAGCCGTCCGTCGCCCTCTTCAAACTCGGGGCCCACTGCACTCAAACAAAAACGTGTGAGTGTTAGAGTTGTTTGGTATTGCTAAAAATCTCTCTGCACTCCGGGGGAAATCCCACAGCTGACTACGGAAAAAAGTAAGTAGTACTCCTTGGCGTTTTGCAGTTGGCGCTCTCCGACCAAAACGATCTTAGGGGCCAGGGTGAGACAACAGGTCGGGGTGCCACACGGGGCACACCACAGGCGTATTCTAGAGGGGGAAAAGAAGCGGGGAATGAGGGGCCCCGCCACGAGAAGCGCGTTCTGGGGATGCAGAGCGTGCAAGGCGGCTAGGGATGAGGCCACAAAAGAGGCGCGCGAGGCAAGGAGGAGAATCGGAGAACTGAGAGACTGGGACGACTGGAAACAAGAAGACAGTGAGCCACCACAGGCGTCGTTGGCGCACATACTGAGCGGCAGCTGCGCTGGAAATAAGGAAGAGGCGCGTCACTTCATGCGGAAGCTAGACAAACACACGGCGAGGGCGACTGTGCAATAGTCGAACGGGCGGCGCCGGACTCAAAAGACACCGCTACATTCCTGAGACGCGCGAGGGCAGCCTCCTTAAAGGCAATGGGGTCTAGATTCGGAGCGCTCGCCGAAGGGGAGTACGACAAAATAGCGCCCGTGATTGCCTGCACGCTGCCCGCACTCACGGACACCATAACCGAAAGAAAGAGAGGGGAGCTCGCGGGAGAGGTGACGAGTGAACTACAGGTATAGTGGGGAAGGCAGCCTCGATTGCCATACAGACATGGGTGCGAAACAACGACAAGACCAAGGCACGGGCAGAGGAACGAGAGAAGAATATAGAGTGGATAAAGCGCCTGTTCACGGCATGGAGGGTAAGCCACGCCGAACGCAAGGAAGCCGGGGAAGACGACCCCGAGGAGGACGAAACACCAGTGGAAATCCCGCCGTCGGCTGTCACGATATACCCGAAGGGAACCCCAGTGCCAACACCGACAGTTGAGGTACAAGTGCTCGAAACGAGAGTGGACCTGAGCAACGACATGACAGGGCGGGATATGCTCGCAGTGGGAGTCAGAAATGTGGTCCTTGCGCGAGGAATGCTCGATAAACTCGAGGGACCAAAATACGCGGAGAGGAGAGCGGAGTTACGCAGGAAGGCGAGAGAAGCAGCGAGAGCAAGGCAGACGGCAGCGGCGTCTCAGAACGAGGCCGAGGAGAGCGATGAGTCAGGGGAAGAGACAGCAGGAGAGAGAACGACGAGAGTTGGAAGAACGCGAGGTGGCATGAAGGTCGCTGCAAGAATTGGTGAGAAACTGCGGAGAATAGGAAGTGGTAGACGCCCGACTCTCCTTAAAATCCCTGTGTGGTGGCGGCGTGCCGTCCTCCCATCCCTCCCTTGGGGTGTTTGTTTTCTTTCTTTCTTTCTGGCGCTCTCCGGTCTTGGGAGGGATGCGTGTTGTTTTGAAGAAAATGTTAGTCCTAGGTGTAATCGCTAGTGGTTTGCTGCTCTCTCTCTCAACTGAACCCGCCCTCACCTTAGAACAAGAAAAACGCGCGTCAATTCCGCAGTCGGCATGCTTCGGCCTGTGGCTTCGCCCGTAGGATGCTCTGCCTCGTCCCGCAGCCCACCGCGTGGTCGCCGCCGCACCGGACGCACGAACGGCCGCGCCGCTCTCCCCGCTGCAGCCTGGCCGCCGCCTCTCCCCGCGACTTTGCCTTCCGGCGGCTCACGCCCGAGCGGCCGGAGCTGCCCGTGCTGCTCTTTCTGCCCGGCATCGACGGCACCGGCAGCGCGGGCGCCACGCAGTGGCCGCGCCTCGCGTCGAGCTTCGAGGTGCACGCGCTCTCCTTTGCGCCCGCGGATCGCTCCTCCTTTGGCGACGTGCTGAGCGGCTGCGAGGCCTTCCTGGGCGACACCGCCGCCGGCCGAGGCACGCTTCTCGTGGGCGAGTCGACCGGCGCCGTGGCGGCCCTTGGACTCGCCTATCGCGCGCCGAACGCGGTGGACGGACTCTGCCTCGTCAACCCCGCCACTGGCTACGCGGGCAGCGCGCTCTCGACGCTCGCGCCGCTGCTGACCCGGCTGCCGAGAGGCGTGTACCGCGCGGCGCCGTACGCGGTCACGCCGCTCTTCGGCAAGCGGGACTGGTTTCGCTCCATCGTCGGCGAGGACGCCACGACGGGCCCGCCTCCGCTCCTGCCCTCTCCCGCCGCGGTGCTCTCCGCCAGCGGGGCGCTCGCCGACGCCCTCCCTGCAGAGGCCCTTGCGTGGCGGCTCGAGGAGCACCTGCGCAAGGGCAGCGCGGCGGTCAACGGGCGCCTCGCGGCGGGAGGGCGCGCCCCGGCATCGAGCACGCTGCTGCTCGCGGGCGGGCGGGACCTGGTCCTCGCTTCGCCCGCCGAGACGTCGCGCCTGCAGCAGCGGCTGCCCGGCTCGGTGCGCAAGCTGCTGCCGTCCGCGGGCCACGCCTGCCTCGACGACGCTCGCTCGCTCAACCTGCGGCTAGAGCTGGCGCAAAGCGGCGTGCTGAGCGCAGTGCAGCGGGCGCACGCTGGGCGGCGGCGCGAGGCGGCCGAGGCGGCGGAGAGGGTGGCGGCGGAGGCGAGCGAGGCGGAGGGCGGCGAGACGCCGCCGCCGCCGCCGCCGCTGCCGCCGCCGCCGCCACCGCTACGCCCGCAGCCTGCGGCCGCGGCCGCGTCGGTGGACCCGTCCCCCGCCTCGCCCTTCGAGGTGTGGCTCCAGGGCATGCGCCGCCTCTTCTCGCCCCTCTTTTACACGGTCCGCGCCGACGGGGCGCTCGAGCGCGGCGTGCTTGGGCTGGCGCTGCCCGCCGCCGGCTCGCCCGTCCTCTTCGTGGGTAACCATCAGCTCTTCGGCTTCGACGGGCCGCCCGGACGCAGCGGCGCAGCGCGCCCCGCCCCGCCGCTCCACCCCCCCCCCCCCCCCGCTGCCCCGCAGGCCTCTCCTCGTCGAAGAGCTTCTGCGCGAGCGAGACAGGCTGCTGCGGCCGATGGTCTTCCCGCCCCTGCTCGCCTCCGAGTCGCCGCTCGCTCCCTTGCCCTACCCGCTGCCCGGCACGGCCGCAACCTTCGAGCGCTTCGGAGCCACAAAGGTCTCCGCCCGCGGCTTATACGCGGCGCGCCGTCGCGAGGATGCGGAGCCCGCCGCTCTCCCGGTGCCGACCTCGCCCCGCGCCTGCGGCAGGCGCTCGCCAGAGGAGAGTGCGTGCTCCTCTTCCCGGGCGGAGCTCGCGAGGTGGCCGGGCAAAACGAGGGCGGCGCGCCCGCGCAGGGGCGGAGCGGGCTCACCCGCCGCCCTTCCGGCCGGCAGGTCTTCAAGCGCAAGGGGGAGCAGTATCGCCTCTTCTGGGGCGAGGACGCCGACTTCGTGCGGCTGGCCGCGCGCGTCAACGCCACAATCGCGCCTCCCGCCGGTGCGCGGAGGAGGCGGCGGCCGGGCGGTGCTCCCGACGCCCCCTTCCGTGGCACGCGTAGGTCCCCTTCTCTGGCCTCGGCGGGGACGAGTCCTTCTCCCTCGCGCTCGACTCGGACGAGCTCCTCAGTGCGCCGCTCGTCGGTGACTTCTTCCGGCAGCGGGTCGGCACGCTGCCCTCCTTCGTCCCCGGCGACGTCTTTGTGCCCCCCCTCGGCGCTCTGACGCCGCAGAGACACTACTTCCTCTTTGGGGCGCCCGTCGACCTGACCGGCGTCGAGCCCTCCGACCGCGAGACTTGCGCGAGCGTGTGCGCTGGCATTGAGCGGTCCGGGCTGCGTCGGGTCCTCGCCCCGACCTCGCCACCCGCTCCCGTCCACAGGTACGACGAGGTGCGAGCCGCCGTCGTCGGCGGCGTCGCGCGGCTGAAGCGAGAGGTCCGCGAGCGCGATGGGTTCAGAGACAACTTCAAGAGGACTGCATGGGAGGCGGTCTACGACGCGCAGGCGCCGGGGCCAGAGCTGTAGAGCGGCGTCGAGAAGCGAGTCAGAGTACGTTGCAAAGTACGCGGTGTGTGTGTGTGTGCGTATGTGCGACGTCGGTGTGTGTTGCGCGTGTACTCTTGCGTACGAGGTGGTCACGTGCATGTATGTCGTGGAGCCGATGTCCCGTCGGTGTACACGGCTCTAGAGCCGTATACCGTAGGCGATTTACGAGAGAGATATGAGAGTTATCGCGTTTTCCATTAACGCGGTTTAAATTGTGTGTGGCGCGCGAACACCTGGTACGCACTGCGGATCTTCACAATCACACCCCTCACAGTCACACATCTGAACTCCGCCACGCATTCGCGGGGGATCGGGGCTGCACTGCACGCCGGACGACTGCGCGGGCAAGAGGCGCGGGCCGGGTCAGTCGCACGCGGCTCGCGGGGCGCGCGCGCCCCGTGGGGGCTCCGAGACGGAGAGGATGGGCGCCATCGCGATGAGCGCGCGCCCTCTGGGGGGAGGCGGGGGCCCCCGGAGGCACCGTGCGCCACGCCGCAGTGCGGAAACGGGGCCCCGGCTTGAGCACTTGAGCACTGGATAGGGTCGATTCCGCATGGTACGGGACCCCTCGATCGTCTCGCCCTCCCTCACTGGTGTGTTCATTGGGGGGGGGTCATAACAAACACGGTACAGGATCGAGGCTCTATTAGTCTCTATTAGCACCAACTTCCCGAATGATTACGGTTGATTAGAGGGCAGATTTGGAGAGATCTCGAGGAGTACATACAGATGGACCCTCCAGTCATCAGAAAACTCTGACCTGATCGGTCGTACTGACCGCCGACAGATCACTCCAGACAGCAGACAGGCCGACGTCTGCACGCGGCCGGCCGGGCGAGAGGCTTGACACGATCCGACCCTGCGACCCTGATGCTGCTGCTCTAGCTATCAGACATGTGCTGCTGACTGCTGCCACAATGTGCGACCGGTGCTGACCCACTTGGCGGCCTTTCCGGTCAGTGCTGAGGCGCAGTTCAGAGCTGTCGATGGCGCGATGCCGCACTGGTCCCACATCGGTGACACGAGACCACCACGTTTGCCGGTCCAAGAGAGAGGCACCGGCGCTGTCCTGAGAAGGTTCATGGTCCCTCTTGACTGCCCATGCGCGCGAGGCTGTGTAGGCATAGCCTCGAGAGTGCCAGCAGCCAATCCGAGGCAGTTTGTGACGCGCATTGCGTCAGAAGCGTGCACGCAGGTCGCAGCTGGAAGGACACCTTCCTACTGGCCGTACGATCAGGTCGTCACTGAATGCTTGATACTAAGGCCGCGAGCTATGCAGGTGATCAATTGTGCAGCATGGCACGGTCAGCAGCGCCGAAAGGATGTCGCAAGGCATGATAGCATGGCCGCAAGTACGCCGAATTCCCATGAAAACAAATAAAAATCGCGCAAAAATGCCAAAAAATCGGCGGGCTGGGGGGACCCATCGCCCCCCCGCATGGGTACCTCCTAGGGCCCTCGCCCCCCCCCCAGAGCGCGCGCCATGGTGCTCTTGTCTTCCGAATCGGCGTCCCAGAGCCGTTCGTTGTCCTGCCGCGTGAAGGGACCGTGAATGATGGCGAGGGCCCGCTCCTGTTGACCCATCTTTACCGGTGGGCTGGCCCCGGCACAAGAGAGCAGTGGTGTGTGTCAGCACACGACACGACTCACCACTGGGCGCATAATCACACCCACGACACGTAGCATACATGCACGGCGTAGAGTGACGGACAACCAACTCAAGAGACATCCTCATCCACCACACAGACTAGAGCTCTACGACTTTATCAGAATAGATTGGATCTCACAACCACGCCTGCGGCAAACCTGAGCGCCTGATCATCGCAGGAGCGTGCGATCGCACACGGACTTGTCAGACTGACGTGTCAGACTTCACCGACAGATCGCGGGATCTTCGCATCGACAGTGTGAGCGAACTCCGCGACTGTGCTCTCGGCGATACCAAGAAGGAGAGTGTCGAGCCGGATAGGTTGCATGTGGTGGATCGACCTGATCAGTGTCAGCCGCGTCGTACTGCGTAATTCTCAACGCAGACGCCCTGAACACCCTCTCCCTGCGCCACAGACGAGGTGCAGCCCATGTTGTGCTCACTCACATTCCCCTGTGTCCCTGATCGTCCTTCCAAAATCCTGCTCGTGCAGATGGGGACCCTGTCCACCCATCCCTCGTTTGTGTCTGTTTTCTTTCTGCTTACTAGCACGCGCCAGTTCGCACCTGTGTCGAGCCTGTGTGCTGTGAGAGAGAGTTCTTTTGTTTAAATTCTTTCTGCTTGGCCTGTATGAGAGTTTCCGGCAACCCAGAGGGAAACCAGACGGTCCCCAGCACTTTGCGTTTCCGGAAATTTCCATACCAGAGGGTGTTTGGTGCTCAATTCTGGCAACTCTCGAGTTTCCCTGAGTCTGAGTACTGAGAACTGGTCTGGGGCAAAATCTGAGGCAAACTCGAGGAAACCGGCAAAAATACCTGGTATTTTCCAGGCAAACCCGGTTTTTCAGGTATACCCGCAAAACACCGGGGATTTTTGCCGGTTCGTTCGGCTTATTTTGGGCCCAATGCGCAATGGCAAATCAGCCTCAGACTCGGCTCAGAGCCCGGAAAATTTGATGGTTTCCCCGTAAACGAGAGAGGAAACGAGAGGGTGCTGTAGAGAAACACGGACAAGAAACGAGGCAGCGTGCGAGAGGAACATACACACAGCCTAACTTTCTGCTATGCATTGGGGGGAAGACAGACAGACAGACCATCAGACCTCAGACGCACCTCGATCGATCGTTGGATCGAGCAGGAAAACGAGGAGGGGGGAGAAAATGTGAGGGTCAACTAAGTCGGGCTGCTGCACCCAAAACAGCTGCACCCAAAACACAAAATAGTCTCCCGAGTTGACACACACACACACACTCTGTCTCTGCGCATATATATCCGGAGGGCCGGGAAAAGTCTTTTGCACGAACACGCACGGGAGAGTACGCACGACGCACGGGTAGTCTGCGAAGGCCGACACCGACTCGTGTCTCAGCTAACCTTTCGAGGCGCACACCAATATCTGCTCGGAGGTCTCGTCCAGTGGCTCGTATGCCACGACCCAAGAGGGACCGCAAAGCACCTCCTACGTTCGATGCTCAGCCCGCTCCCGCTGTCGTCGCGGCTGCGGCTCGTGCAGCTGCCGCCGCTGCACCGAAAGCACGAAGGGTGAGCTTTGACCTCGGAACGCTTGAAAAGGAGAAGGAGAAGGCCTCGGATTTTGAGTTGCATCCACGCGTCCGCTCACTCGACGATTGAGCTCCTCTCCCTCCCCAATCCGCCTTAGGCTTCACCGATCACCAAGACCAAGCTCAAGCCTGCCAGAGCACTGCCACCTCCACTCCCGCCGCGAGCCCGTAAGCCAGTAGTTCTTTTTGTGGCCGAGCCAGCGCCTCCGCCGAGCAGTCTTGCTGCCGCAAGCCGCGCTGGACGGCGCAGAGGATCAAGGGCTGACCATTTGGCTTGATGTGCACAGATTATTCGCTTTCTGTGCTATGTCGAGGGCTGGCTGGAAGCACTGGCCAGAGCTCATCACCGAGGAAAGGGGACCAGGCTGGGACAGGACGACATGAGGACCGGCAGGGTCACGTCAGCCGGCCTGAGAACTGGAGGGCCGAGGCGGAGGCCAACGCGCGGAGCTGCGCTCCCCGTCTCCCCCCACTCTTTCACAGAGTGCATGTGTCTGGGTAATACTACAATAGCGCGCCGAGACACGCGAAAAGGTAGGAGCAGGAGGCCCCTCAAACTCCTCTCTAGCGCGCTCGAGAAAGTATACATTTATCCGCGCCGGGGCCCGGCCATGCGGCCCATGGGCATGGCCGCTTGCCCGGCCGGTCTCCCCGCGCCGCGCGCGCGCGCGGGGCGGCGTCTCCTCCGGCACATATGTAGGGCGCGTCCGGCCCCTCTCCCCGTGAGAACCCACATGACATGTGACATGTGCATGTACCGCCACGAGCCCCACGTAATCGCATCAATCATCATGTACGCGCGGCCGAGGAAAGAGAAAAGACTGGACCCAACACGGGCTCGCGCTAGCTGCTCAGTGCGAGTCAGTGGCTGTGTCCGCCACCACAGCAGGTGAGGGAGTGTGCGTGGCGCTGCGAGGAGAGGAGGACGCCGCAGCCGAGGACGTTGAGCAGCGAGTGGTGCGTGTGCAAGAATTGAGCGATGGCATGCGGCATCGACAGGCCGAGAATCATGTGTGGAAGGTGCACCTGGGTGACAGGGCGACGGTTGGGGTGAGGGCGTTGGTCAGGTGCATGAGGTGAGTGCCGGGCTGCTATGCACATTAGCAAGGATGATGAGCGCAATGCCACTGAGACCCCACAGGGCAACGAAGGCGCGTTTGTGCTGAAACCAGTTTGCGGCGACGGCCAGCCCTCCGACAGGGCCCACAAACCAGAGGGCGGCCGCGTGCGAAGCTTTGTGAAGCCACGCCGTCGCGCCACCCGTCGAGATTGCGCCGATGAGTGGCAACGCGGCCAGGAGGACAGGAAAGACTGTGCAATCAACCGCGCAGGCCAGCGACGCGAAGAGGGACACGCGGTTGAGCTGCGTGCGCCACGAGCTCCCTTCCTCCTCGGCCTTGGCCGTTAGGAAGCAGAAAGGTCGTGATCCGGATGTGGACGCCTGTTTGGTCGCGGTCGCGCGCAGTGGCGGCGGTAGCAGCGCGTCGGCCAACCCAGCGAGGGCAGCGACAAGGAGGAAGCGGCGTAGCATATGCTCGGGTCGCCAGTAAGCTCGCGGTCCGCTTGCGCTAAAGCGCAGCAAAAAATTCTTTTGCGAGAGGGGAATTCAGAGAGAGAGATTTTCAGTGTGCATGTGCGAGAGACTGCCAGCGACAAGCTGGAGGCAGGTCGCTAGACTGAGATGAGACCGCCAGTGGATGTGGGAGTCCACCGCGCACCGCGCTGCGAGCCTGTCGTGTCCCTTGTCAGGAGCAGGAGAGCCCCACCTGTCCCCCTGATCGTCCTTCCAAAATCCTGCTCGTGCAGGTGTGGACCCTGTCCTCGTCCCATCCCTCGTTTGGCGTGTCTGTTTTCTTTCTTTCTTTAGAGAGATTTTTAAAGACCAACAATGGGTGGCAGAGAACGGTGTCGGTGACCACCACCCTCCTGTGCGAGACAACGGTCAACGCTCGCTGCAGTTGGCATATTGGTTGAATGGTTTGCGCATGCGGAGATCGGTCAGTGATCTGTGATCTGTGAGGGTCCGCCCGCAGGCGCATTTTGTTTGTATACCGAGGCGGTGCCCGGTGCCGAACCTGTCGGACCTTAAGACAGCGTTGTAGATCCCTGGGCGAGGGTGGTGGAGAGGGCGGTCCGGCGGCGGAGCAACCACCTCCTCCCGGCGCGCCGGTAGGCAGGATGTCATCCGACATCCCCCGTGATCCAGACTGCCCAGATCGGTCAGTAAATAAGCTTGCCACATGCCAGGCGCACACAGCTCACTGGTCTGCTCACAGCCTCACAGGCCTAGGTGCGCGCTAGCCGCTAGGACGGCCTAGTAAGGGCCGCTCTAGAGTAGGACTCTAGGCGGGGGAGGGCACGCGTAGGGCGGCCGGTCCTCGTCGCAAGCGCCCTCTGGCCGCAGTACGCATGCAAGGAGTTCGGTGGAGCCGGCTGGGCGGCGACCGTGTTGCGATGCTCCAAGCACACCGCAATCGTCCGGTTCACGATTGCCGCGACGCGCGATGGCCGACCATACGAAGACGCGCGCGTCCCGCTCAACCAACTGCGGCCGCTGCCTTCGCGACAACTGACCGCATAAGGCGCGCTTCAGAGGGTGGAACCCCGCATAATCACCGCAGGGTGGAACCCCTCATAATCACCGCAGGGTGGAACCCCTCATAATCACCGCAGGGTGGAACCCCTCATAATCACCACAGGGTGGAACCCCTCATAATCACCGCAGGGTGGAACCCCTCATAATCACCACAGGGTGGAACCCCTCATAATCACCGCAGGGTGGAACCCCTCATAATCACCGCAGGGTGGAACCCCTTATAATCACCGCAGGGTGGAACCCCTCATAATCACCCGCGTGCTACCCGGCTTGCGAGTAGGGAGGAGGAGGCTGCGCTGCGCAAGCACGGGCGGGAGGGGCTTCTCCTGCGGAGTCGTGCGTGCGCAGGGCTCCTCTTTGCTTTCTTCTACTCCCTACTATCATCTCGTTCCCGTCCTACCAGAGAAGGTTACTTCCCCCAGGATTGGTCTTCTCTGCATGCGGGAACACCCTCGGGCGGCCGGGTGGGGCTGCGGCTGGAGCTAGCATGGCTCGATAGAGCCGAGACCCCGTGTTGAGGCGGCGCTCCTGTGGGCGGCTGTGGAATCGGGAGATATTCGGCAGGCAGATCTCCCGATCTCATCCCAGTGGATGGACGTCCGGACGTCCCTTTGTGTTCCTCTCGTCGTCCGCCAGCGAGACTGGCTCAGTCGCTGGCAGCCGCAGTTTTCTGTGACCCACCCACCTCTCCCTTGTGTTTTGTCTGGGGAGGGGCTTCTCCTGCGGAGTCGTGCGTGCGCAGGGCTCCTCTTTGCTTTCTTCTACTCCCTACTATCATCTCGTTCCCGTCCTACCAGAGAAACATATGCGTGTGTGAGAGTGTGTGTGCGCCGCAGTCACCCCAAGGAACGGTGCTCCGAGGAGAGGCGCGGCGAGTGTTGGCCCCCCGTTACGTCAAGCCCGGTTGTAGCGTGTGGGCCGCGCTATCAAAGACACGTTAAACGAAGCAGTGCACCGAAAGTAGACGATCTGCTCAGTGTCTCTCAGTCAGCTCCAACTCTCGCGAGCTAGCTCTCGAGACGATCGCGCGCGGACGCAGCGCATGGGACCCGCGCTGCCCGGGAAGGAAGTTCGCGTGGGTGGCGGCCGCGGGTCTGCCCCGTCACCAGCCGGAGAGCGGGTGTGAGCCCATCGCCATATTTTTGAAGGGCGGCGTGCGCGTGGCGCCTGTCTGCGGCCCGAGGAGCTTCTCTGCGAGGTGCTCCTTGAGATCGGGGTAGTAGTCGGTGAGCGTGCGGAGCGAGGCGTGCTGGGTCGAGAAGGGCACGTCGGGGTCGTCGAGGGCCCAGTCGCCGTCGGACAGGTCGATGCCGCGCGAGGCGAGGAAGGAGAGCACCTGCGGGGAGGGCGGTGGCGCAGGGATCGGGCAGACGTCTCTCTCGCGCCGTGTGCGGCGGCGGCGCGGGAGCAAGGCGTCTGCCTCCTCTGCGACGGCCTCGACGGACAGATCCTGCTCCTCCGCCCCGCGGAGCAGCGCCGTCTCGTCCAGCACTTGGTGCGAGATCCATAGCGTGTGCGCCGTCTCCTCGGCCACCGCTCGGTCGTCGCCCGCCGGGTGCTGCACCCGAACCTCGACGTGGTAGCCGTTGCGCCGCACGTATGGGCCGCTCACGCGGCCAACCTTGACCGTCTCGATGGGCCGACGTGCCCTCTCCGGCTCGGCCGACGCCGCCGGCGACATCCACGCGGCACCGCTGCCCGAGGCGCCAGCGCCGGCACTGCCGAGCGCAGCGCCATCCCACCCGCCAAGGGCGCCGTCGCCAAAGGCGGCCTCGCCGTCGTCGGCGCTCGGATCCCAGACAGGCGCGCCGTCGAGCTCGCTCTGCGGCCAGTCGGCCCATCCGCCACCATCACCTCCATCACTGCCACCCGCTCCACTCGCACGCAAGCGCTCGGCCGCCTCGCGTGCGGAGGCCTCGCGCACCTCGTCTGCGTCGCCTCGCGCCCACGCAGAAGCCCGCTGCGGGCTCACCGCGTGAGGCGTCACCGCGTGAGGCGAACGCAGGCCGACGTTGAAGCCTAACGCAGACAGCGCGAGCATACTCGTGATCGCTTGCAAAGAGAAAGCCGTCCAGCGCAACGACACGGGCGCGGACTGGCGCGGACTGGCACACACACCGGCTCACCACCGGAGCCGCCTAAGCGACTCCGTTAAGAACGGCAATGCACTCCGCACCATGCACAATGCCGCTCTCCCCGCACGCTAGCTCGTTCACCGTCTGCCACGCCACAGACAGCGGTGTGGAGGACGACTGACAAACGCTGCATTTGCAGGCCGTGCCAATTCTTGGTTGTCCATGTGACCTCGTCCAGGTGCTGAGCATGCGAAAGTTTGTTGCTCAGCTGGTTCGCCGCCTCCCTCAGGTGCTGCGGACCTCCTTTCCGAAGCCTCCGAAGGCGAAGCTCTCGAAGTCGAACAAGCGCAGATCGCAATCTTGCTCCCGCGCAAAAAGCGGTAATCGCCAGGCAGCTGCTTGAGCGGCCCCTTGGGGGCATGCGGCGCGTCCTCCCCCTCCCCTACCTCCTCCGCCTCCGCCTCCGCCTCCTCGTCCTCCTCCTCCGCCACCGCCGCTGCCGTCGCTCCCCCGACGGCGAGTACTTGCCGCGCCCTTTGACCAGATTGAGCAGCCCGGGCTCCGTGTTGCCGAAGCGAACATACGCCCCCTTCCAGCCGAGCTCTCCGTCGCCGGCCGCGTCCTTGCCCTTGCTCGCAAGCGAGCTCGTGAGCTTCAAATCGGCAACAAGGCGCCTCTGTGCCCCCTGGCCCTGCCGATGTTTGCCGCCGCCACGTCAGGTTGTTTGGGATTACTGTAACTGAGGTGTGCAGTCGGCTCCATCTCGATGATCATGCCCCACGCCGAGCGGAGGATCTTGACCAGTCGTTTGAGTAGGAATTTGTGTCTTGTAGCATGCTTCGACCGAGGGTTAACCATCGCGGCGTCGCCGAGGATGTCGTGCAGCTGGCCGTTGGGTGCCCTCTTGCCTTCCTCCGCCGCCTGGCAGGCGACATCGAGGGGGAGCCCGAGGCGGCGCTGAACGGTGACGCGCATCGCCCAGGACTCCATCTTCATATCATCACGCATGGGGATGGCGTTGAGGAAGGCGCCGGCCCCTGGTTGGCTGACGGCGACGAAGCGGATCGCCTCTCGCCAGCATTTGTGGTTCTTGCGCCCTCCGACCTTCTTGCGTTTGGAGGGCGCCTTGCGGCCGCCGCTGCGAAGCGCCTCTTCGGTAAGCTCTTCGGCAAGGGCGAGCCAGTTAGAGTGGTGCACGCCAGAGGTGTACCGTCGCTGCGCCAGGTGCAGGTACTCGTTGGTGGACGAGAACTGGGCGAGGGGAAGCAGCTCCGCAGCCGGCGTCAGCTCGTGCGGGAAGAAGCGGAACCTCGGCTCCGCCTTCGCCTCGTTGGTCGCATTGCCCGGGCTCACCACCTCCCGGCACTCGACCCACTTCCGCCAATCCCGCTGGCACTTGTCGGTAAGGTCGTGGTTGCTGACGAGCTCCGTGTGCGCCACTCGCAGCTCGTCGAAACACTCTCCGGGCACGGTCGAGACGTCGAGATCGGCGAAGGGCCTGGCAAAGAAACCCACGAGAAATCGTGCGTCGCCCGACTCTCCACGAGAGGTCTGCTCTATTTTATTTATTATCGCACCCGGCCGGACACCCCTGAGACGGCCGTTCCGGGCATTTTGAACGCGACCTTCGGGGGCGACGAGACATGGGCTCTACGGCTAAGACTGGAAGACTCCTGTCTTCGCTGATGCCCTCTCTTAGCACTTAGCTCTTAGGCCACGCCTGACACCTGTGCGCGCGGCCTACGCGATCCCCCGCGATTATCCCGGGAAAAGGCGCGCGAGCGGGTGGCCCGGAGACCTGGCGCGTGGCGGTGACGATGTGGTCGCGATGGATGCGGTGTCGCGGACAGTGTCGGGCGACGGCGCGAGAGCGGCCTGGCGAGAGCCGAGAGGAGGGAGCGTCTTTTTCGTTCATGCTTCATCCTACGTAAGGCAATGCGTCCCAAGGATAGTTATTGACTGGGTCGTGCTCCCGAGGCGCGGTCTTCTACACACACACTGCGCTGTCATCTACCAGGCGGCCAGGTCCTCCGCCGTCTCCGCCTCCCTCTTCGCCGCCCGCCCAGCCGAGGCCCGACGCTGCGAGGGAGTGGTAGACTCGCAGCAGCCTCGCAGCCTGAGCCTCCCCCCGCCCGACCCCGTCCCCGACACAGAACGACTCCTCGCCGCCAGCCTCGCGCAACACCCACCCGCGCCACGCGCTCGCAGCCTCGGCCGCCGACCCCTCCACCTCCTCCCCCATCGCCGTCGCGCAGGGAGCGGCTGCGCCTCGGCGCCCCAGCGCGAGGCCCGCGCGCGCACCGCGACGCGCGGTCGCCTCTTCCGACCGGCGGAGCTTCCGCCGCCGCCGGGCGACGTCGCGCAGCAAGCGGCTGCGAGGGTTCGAACCGCCGCGCGAGCCGCCCAGCGCGCGCAGCGCGTCCGCGGCGAGCAGGTACGCCTGTTCACACGCAGCGCCGTGAAGAGGCCGGTGGCGGGGGCACGCAAGCCAACGAGGCGACGTCGCCTGCTCCCGCGCGCCGCCGCTGCGCCACGCCGGGGACGCCTCCGCCGCCCCCAGGAGCTCGAGCAGCGGCTGCCACTCTCGCTCGCCGTGGCACGCCAAGAGAAGTGTGTCGAAGAGCGAGGCCGGCAGCGGCACGCAATCGCGCAGAGCGAGCTCGAGGCGCCAGCCGCCCTCCGCAGCCGGAGCAGCGCAGCCGCGCGCCGTGCTGGCTCGCAGTCCGCCTCCGCGGGCAGCCGCAAGTGCCGCCGCAACGTGCAGCGCCTACACGCATGGACACACGTCGTGGACATGGCGCAGCAGCCGGGTCGTGGCGGTTGTGCAGCGCCTGCGCCACGTCGACCGCTGCCCGCGCCAGCGCGTCTGCGCGGGCATTCTCTTCCCGCACTATGGCACCGAAAGACGGGGCGCTTCCGAGCGGCAGCCGCGCGAGGGCCTCACGCGCGCGCCCTGCCGGCTCGCTCAGCTTGCGTGCGCGTGCCTTGCCCGACATCTGGTCGATCACGACCCGGCAGTCGCCCTCGACGCGCAGCGCGTCTGGCGACAGCGCGCGTGCTGCCTCCAGGCCGAGAATGAGGCCCTCAAACTCAGCGTGGGACGATGTGACGCACGAGGGCACGAAACGGGCTCCCTCCCACCAAACGACTCCATCCTTGGAAAGCACAGCTGCCGCGCCTCCGGCGCCACCGGCTCGGAAGGAGCCGTCGAAGCGAAGCTGGAGCATTAGCATCGCAGACAGAGAGAGAGCTTCCTTCGCTGCAGGCCAGCAGGCGAAAGCCGCGCTCGCTAGCCAGCTGCCCACACCTGGAGGCTGCCTGGCGAGGTACTTCCAGCCTGCTGTGGGAACAGCAGACGCAGTCTCGCCGAGGCTCGCCAGACAAAAACCCCGATAGGCGTGGGAGTACCTCGCCAGGAGGCGGCGGAAGAACAAAGAACAGCGGCGACAGGTCCGATTTGTTTTTCTGATCCATCAAAGAGAAAGGATCGAAAAGACTTTTTTCTCCATATCACTGTACCAACAACAAACCAAAAACTGTAAATCATCCCAGAGTGGTTGACACACATACCGCCTCTCGAGCGGAGCAGTATCGCCACGTGCGCGGAAGTTGCGCTTGTAGTTGTCCCACTGCTCATTCTGCTCCTCAAGGCTGCCGATGAGCTCCTTGCATGTGTGCTCCCTGTACCACCGCGCGCGGTGCCGATGATATGCTTTCTGCCCGAGTTCACCGAGGTCGTACTCGGAGCGCTCCGGTGGCCATTTGCCCTCGCGCCTCGGTGACAGCCACGTCGGCTGGCGGATCGCGCGCCCACTCCGGATTGGCGACGCTGGTGTCGAGTAGCTCGTACTTGCACGCGAGGGTGTGCGACGTGTCCTTGTGGTAATAGTACGGCACGTCGCCCTCGTCGAATGCCTGCAGGAGGCCGTTGCTGCCACTCGTCGTTGGCGGCGGCGGCGGCAGCGTACCTGCGCTCCTGTGCTGCGCCTCGAGCTCGAGCCTGCGCTGCTGCTGTTGCGTCTCCAGATCTGGGAAGGCGCCCAATCCGATGCAGTGGCCGGCCGCGTACTTGGCACAATACGCACATGGCTCTGCGGAGCCGGACATCACGTTAACCAGTGATTGTGTTCAGCGCCTTTGCCGGGCTGTCTGCCCGAGGGGTAGGATGTTGAAGGGTACACGTCCGCTCAGTCGGAGCCGATCATGACGGTGAATCAAATCTGTTTTAATTAACACCTACACGCTATACCACACACACACAGTGCGCGCTCTAGAGCAGAGGTATCGTTACCAGGACGATACGGGCGCAACTGGCTGCCTCGTGTGCGAGAAAGGCAGCTACTCGACCAACGTTCTCTCTTGTGAGCTGTGCCAGGTGGGCGAATACTGCCCTGCTGGCTCAGTCGTTGTGGCACGCCCTGCCCACCCGGTTCCTAGTAGTGTCTTGCCGGCACTTACGCCGCCAACTCCGGCCAGGGCAACCTGCCCAGGGTTCCAACTTTTTGCGGGGTATGGTATGGTAGCCTCGCGGCCCAAAGGGTGGGGGGGTATGGTCCTGACCGCCCAAGACTAGCCCTCGACAGGGGGGGGGTATGGTCCCTCACCCTTCTGGTTGCGGAGCGCCCCAATGTACCTTAAGGTACTACATTGCGCCGCTGGCGCAGCCGGCCAACCCGCTCGAGGCGACCACCGGCGAGGCGACCACCGGAGCGGGGGAACCCACTGGAGGGGGGCCGCACCCGCCGGCACGGCGATGCCGATGGATGACCTCGCCGGTGCGGTGGCCCGCGGGGCGGCCGGCGCGGCGGCCACCGGAGCCGCCCGCACGGGGACGGCCGGCGCGGCGCCTGCTGGTGCGGGTGCGGCGACCGGCGCGGGTGCCGCGCCCGCCGCTCGCCAGGCGATTGCCAACTTCGCCGCCGCGCTCTAGACTTCTAGACGAGCACCCTCCGGCCGGTGGAAGACGGCGGCCATCCGCGCGTATCTAGTGTGCGTGTCGGTGTCTGCCAGCCTCCTGGTACCTGGAGCCTAGCAGTAAGGCGGCCGGCGGTGGGGCGAGGGGGGGGGGGGGGGGAGGTATGGTCCCGTCGGCGGGAGGCTGGGTCTGTCAGCTGGCCGGGGGGTATGTATGGTCTCGAGGTGGGTTGCGCGACCGTACCATACCATACCCCGCAAAAAGTCCGAACCCAGGAGGCGGGAAGAACATAAATCGACATAAAGACTGAAAGGCGTAAGAACACAACTCTCACGACTCACGTTACAAGGGACATTCTGCATGCAGAGATGCAGGGAGGAGCTCAGCCTTGGGAGGAGCTCAGGCGCTTAAGAAGGCGCCAAGGAAGGGGGGGGCACAAAGGGGCCACTCTCTCCTTTGTGCCCCCCCCTTTGTGGCGGAGAGAGCCGCCAGCGCTGTCGCCACGCTGCTGGCCACTCCCCGCGCGCACGCAGCTCTCGCCATCTACCACCGCTCTCTGCGCATGCATTGTTTCCGTGCCGCAAATAAGAAACTCTCACGAAGAAAGGCGAAAAAGAAACAATTCTTGTTCGTCGGCCTGAAGTCCAGCCATACCCTCCGGGCCTGATAATTCTCGCCACGGCCATGGCCGACTCCCCGCTTATCGGCATCTATCCGACGATGGTCCCCGACTATTATGTCGCCTACGAGAAGTGGGTGGCGCAGGCGGGCGGGCGCACCGTGGTCCTGCCTCGCTTCTTTGCGCACGAGCCGCAGGCACTGGAGCGCCTGTTTGCCTCGCTCAACGGCCTCCTGATCCCGGGAGGCGGCGACTTTGTCGGCAACGGTTCGGTCGACGCGATGGTTGCGCGCGCCACGCGCGCCAACCGCGAGGGCGACTACTTTCCGATCTGGGGTACCTGTCTCGGCTTCGAGTACCTGGTCGACATACTCGGAGGGCCGGGCGCGCTTGTGCCGCGCGCGCCGGGCGACCCGATCGTGCCCGGCTTCGACTCCGAGCTGCTGCCGCGAGCCCTCAACCTGACGGCCGCGGTGCGCGGCTCTCGCATGCTCGGAGGCGCCAGCGACGCGCTGTTGCGCTGGGCCGCGAGGGAGAATGTCACGTACAACATGCACCATCGCGGCGTCGAGCCGGCGTCCTTTGCCTCCAACCCGCGCCTCGACTCGTCCATGAGCCTCCTAGCCTCCTCCACGGACCGCCGAGGCCGCCCCTTTGTGGCCGCCTTTGAGGGCGACAACCTGCCCTTCTATGGCGTCCAGTTCCACCCCGAGAAAATCGAGTTTGTGCCGCCCTCACGCTACGAGCCAAACATCCCGCGCACCCCGCACGCCGCCGCCCTCTCCCGCCACCTGGGCTCCTTCCTTGTCTCCGAGGCGGCCAAGAGCCTCCACCGAGCTGCAACGCGGACCCCGACCGCCGCCAACCCCTTCGTTTGGCCGTCCCCGTCGGCAGTGTCACACGTGAGATGAGAGGGTGCCACGGCGGAAGGTGAGCGCGTTAGGTCTGTGATGGTCTCCATGTACATTTTCTTCGTAGCGGCCTTTCGATTCGCGCAAACACTTCGGCGCAAAAAAACTTCTCGCGATGTGCGCTAGTTCCTCGCTACTCTAAATTACTAATAGTCCTACTCGCTCTAGGGGCTCTACGGCAGCGTCCTAATCTAAAATCTGAGGATTCAGGATTCAGGGCAAAGTGAGTTTATGGATGTGTGAGAACGGTACGGGACACGAGGAGTCACGCGGACCGACTCGTCGGTGACTCTGCTGCACGCCGTTTTTCAGAATTTTTCTCAGCGTGAGCGAGACGTGCAAGAGAGCCACCGTCGGGTAGGACGGGTCGGCCCGGAGTATCAGAGTAGCCGTCGTGGTCGCGGCGAGCAGCACCGGCCGCTCCGGCGCTGCGTCGGCACCATGGGAGCATGTCCACCGCCACTTCGGTCGCAGCGCTGTTTTGTCGCCCAAACGCCGCTATGTACCTTTTCGGGCAAACCATCGAGCTGCATGTCGATTTCGACTCGACGGCAGCATGGAGGCATCACGTCTCCATGCTGCCGTCAAGTCGGAGCCAGTCTGCGGCGACCACAGCGCTCAGAAAGGTACATGGCGAGCTATTCAGAGGTCAAGCGATCGCGCGAAATCCCACGCTGCGCACCCCCTACTAGAAGCAGACCGCGCCCACGCGCGACGCGGGGGGGGGGCGCCCATCATGGTGCCCCGCCCCCGACACACCACGCACCAGCGGCCGCGGGCGGGTTCATGGAAGAGAGCCGAAGGGCCTGCGCTCGCTTCGCCCCCCCAGGACGGCACGCACTGCGACACGCCGGAGTATATGTACTCTCTCTCTCTCTCTATGTATGTAACTAGTGAGACGATTTAGGTTTGGGGAGGGCGCGAGTGGGAGACTTTTCGGCGGTTAGGCCTCTAACAGTACGCCGATATCGCGCTGTGACGGCTAGAGGGAGCGGGAGGAACCGACGACCGCGAGCGGCGCAACGAGCCGCCTTCGTACGGACCGTCGGTTTCAGCGGCGAAAACCGACCAATACCAAACAACTCTAACACTCACACGTCATTTGGGGGTTTGTTGTCGTCAATCGGCCCGGCGTACCAGAGTGCAGAGAACGGCAACATTCCAATATCGAGACGATTTTTGCGCGCAACATATATATGTAGGAAGTGGAACCAGAAGATTGGGGGGGGGGGGGGGTACGAGTTGGCGGGACGAGGGCGGCGAATTGCGTGGTACTGCGTTCGCTGCCGCTGGCTGCACCTGGCTGCCGCCGGCTGCCGCTGGCTGCCGGTACCAGCCGCGAAGCGCCGCCTCCCTCAACGCCCGACACTCGGTCGAGGCTGGCTCGAACTGCTCGAGGCCAGCTGCCTGACTTGTAAGTATTGACAGCGAGTGTGTCGCCAGTCGCTCCTGACCACACGCGTTGAGGGGCGCGTGGACATGTTAGCCCTCGGCAGCTGCGATGCGCACACACCTGTCGACCGACCTCATCACAAAGATCAAAGTGCGCGTGGTCGAGGTGAAATGGCTGCGCGAGGTGGAGGGCGTGGTCCGTCAAGGAAGGTTCCACGCGTGGGTCGCGCGTGGTGACTTCCAGGACCCATTGCACCTCTTCTTGCTGCGCGGGACGCCGCTGCGCGACCTGTCGGGGTTGAGAGGCAGCGACCTGCGAGACGCCTCGCGGGCGAATGGCGTCTTCATCGCCGAGGAGCGCCTGCGACTCCGCGGGCTGCTGCAGGCCTACGCCGAGACAGGCGCTAACCCTTTCGGGGACGCTGGCGCCTTCCTCCACGACTTTACTGACGGTGGTGAGGCGTCCAGGAGAGGGGACGGGGAGGCGCGCGAGGCGGCGATCCTGCAGCTCCTCCTAGACGCGGGGAGTGCGGAGAACCCAATCGGGGGACCGGACGGACTCTAGTAGCTGCTAGGTGTGTGCAGCAGAGCCAAAACAGCGACGGGTGTCTGTCGTGGGTGCGTGCTTGGGTGGTTGTGTGCTCTCTGCCGCTTTCGATTGTCAGACCACGACACGTCCCGATGTAGAAACATCATGGGAGCACCTCAGATGCGTCTGAAGACCGCAGGGTGGCACCAAATCGGGCGCCAAAGGTCGGCAGAAGGCGCCGAGGGGCCAAATGGCCCCGTTGGGCTCGTTCCGAGGCTTGGACGGACTCTCGCGGCTGACTCGTGCGCGATATCGGCATGTGGTGATACACACGCATCGGGACGATGCCAGCGGCACCCGTTTTACGAGCCTCAAAGCCGCGAGCCGCCCTGCAGGCGCCGTTTTGGGGCTCCACAGAGAGGTCCTGCAGAGGGCCCCGGGGGCGCTTTCGAGGCCCCAGCTACCAACACACGCCTTTAGAATGGTCCCGAGCGGCTCCCACGACCCCCCCAGCACCCGAGCTGCACGACACGACCGCTAAAGGGTGGCTAAGGCTCTGCCCGCAAGGCGCCCCCCCGCGTCGCCGACGCGGTACCATTGACAAATCCCCTATACTCCCGCACGAACAAATAGCAAAATCCGAATACAGTACCGTCGCGAAACCATGTGTGATGTCGGACGCAAGCCTTCAGCTGGTGCCAAGACATCTGTAAAGTTGAAACCAAGAACGTCCGCTAAATATTTTCCGTGCTTTCGGATCAACTTGAGGGGAAGCCGCTGATCGAGCCCAGCGTCCCGCGGCCGCCTCCCGCGCAGCACCGCCGCTGGGGACGACACGCTGCGGAATCGGATCGAGCCCATGGAGGAGGAGGGCGCAGTCGGCGAATTGGAGGAGGAGGGCGTCGAACCCTAGGTCGAACCAAGCCGCCTCGTGTGGGCCCGATGGGCGCGAACATCAGATTTGCCTTTCGTGCGTCCCTTTTAGCTTTTTGAGTCGGAAAGCTATTTTCTTTTGGGATTGGGTCCTGTGGGCACCCTAGCGCCTACGCTAGCGTAGCGGAATGGGCCCCGAGTTTGAAAAAGGGCGACGGACGCTTGCGTCCTAGCCTCCAACAACGCCCCCCCGGCGCAGAGGGGCCCCCGGAGGGATGCAGCTTGCGGCACTTGGAGCACTTGGAGTGCAGTTATCAACCTAACATCCAACAAAACAAACTCTCTCTCTCTCTCTCACATCCAGGGCCGGGGAGCTAAGAAGCGCACCCAGCGAGCCGGATGATCGGTATCGGGTTACGGGCTAGAGAGCCCTAGCCCCGGGGGTGAGCGTTCGAGAAAGAGTTAAAGACCAGGTCTTTTTTAGAGCGGGGGCAGCGCCGCTCGATTCTTGCTTGCTCTTTGCTGCTCACATGCTGCCCATCTCGATCCAGTACTGCGGCGGATGAGGCTCGTTCAAGAAGTCCGTCCGCGCCCGCTGCCGCGCGCCGACTCTCCCTCTCCCGCCGATGGCTCTCCTCCCTTGCCGCAGGCCTGCAGCCGCGCTCAAAGCCTTTCTCGAGCAGGAGTTCGAGAACAAGGTGGAGATCACCGAACTCCCGGATGCCTGTGGGACGGGCGCCTTCGAGGTGAAGGCTGGCGACAAGCTGATCCACAGCAAGCTCACCATGGGTCATGGGAAGTGCACCAGCGACGAGGAGCTTGACGCCATCCTCGAAGAACTCCACAAGATCATCGGATGAAACTAGAAGTTCGCACCGACGAGCGTGCGAGTGGCCGGCCATGGAGTCATGCATGACGCCCCGCGCCGCAATGCAGTCCGACTGCAGGGCGCGAGGCTGATCACTGAGCGTGGCGGGCGGAGCGGGCGCCATAGCGCGGCGCGCCGTCCTCGTGTAGAGAGGTCTTTTCTCCCGCCACGCGCCCGGCTCTGTGTCCTGGCCGCGCGCAGCTTGATTTATAAAGAATAAACGCTCCTCCAGCCGATGCGCGGCCATGTGCGGTCGCGCGCTGACGTTGCCGCCACAGCGCACAGGCGCGGTGAGCCGCACTACCACTAGTCGACAGCACACGCCACGAGGACAAGACTCAACTCTCAAGAGCCAGGGCCGCATCACACGGAGCCGGCCTTCTTCTTGATCTCGGCCAGGTCGAGGTCGCCCCTGTCGGTGGCTTGGTACTCCTCGTTGATTCCTGAGCGGAGTGGGGTGAGGGCAGTGGGGGGCGGGCGGGGCGGGCGAGCAGGCGGGGCGGTGGGTGACTCGTGGGTCGGGACTCGCGACGTCGCGGATGGAGGGGCGAGGCGTCCTCCGATGCGCGCGGGTGACGAGGCGTGCGGACGAGGTGCGGCGTGCGGCCGGAGGAGCGGGCTCGTGCGGGGGGCTTGTGCGCGGGTCCCAGGGGCGCACCGGAGAGGGTCTTCTTGAGGGCGTCCTTGGAGGAGGCGTAGAGCATCTTTGGCTTCACGCTCGCGTTGTCGTCGCTCCACGCGATAAAGATGAGCTTGTTGGTCGTGGCGCCCGACTTGGTGTTGATCTCGACGTCGAGGACGGCGTCTGCGGGCGGTGGGAGCAGGCGACTGTGGGGTGCCGTGCACCTCTGGAAGGAGCGGAGCTGGGCGGTTGCGAAGGGAAGGGGGGGACGGGGACGGGGACGGGGACGGGGGGGGACGGGGGGGGGCGGGGGGGGCGCACAGCGGCAGCCGCCGTCAGGCAGCTTCGATGTGAAATCCTCGAAGCTGGCGCCCGGCTCTCCTTTTACGTCGATGACAATGCTCTTCTTGTCGTCGGTGATCTTGAAGACAATGTACTAAGGCGACGAGCCGCGCAGGGGTCGGGGCGGTGGCGTGCCGCATGAGCTGGGTGCCGCGCCCTCTCGAGCCCCCCTCCCCCTGGCCGCTTCCCTGGCTGAGGTGTGGCAGCGCTCTCTCACGCGCGGACACCTGGTACGCATTGCGGATCTTCATCTCTTCGAACTCCTTCAGGCATTCGTCGGCGCACAGCACGCCGGAGGACTGCGCGGGCAAGAGGCGCGGGCCGGGTCAGTCGCACGCGGGGGGCGCGCGGCCGAGGATGAGCGCGCCATGGTGCTCTTTCTTCTGAATCGGCGTCCCGGAGCCGTTGTCCTGCCGCGTGAAGGGACCGTGAATTGGGCTTTTGGGCTTGGCCTTTTATTTCCTGTAGGCGTGGCTCGCTCCTGTTCACCCATCTTTGCCGGTGGGCTGGCCACCCCCCAAGTGGCCGCAGCCGGCGGCGTCACCGCGCGCCACACCGGGGAGGGGCTAGTACGTAGTAGGCCAAGGCTAAGGAAACACGCCTCGCTCGGATGTGAGAGCCGGGAGCGGGCGGTGGGAGGTGATGTGAGAGAGTTTAGCACAATACCAACAACTCTAACACTCACACTACCTACGTGGCTGGGTTCACAGCGGTTGTAGGAAAATGTCGGGAACACTTGACGCCCTGGGGGCCGGTGCGCGTGTGAAGTTGAAGTTCCGGAGTGAAAATTCGAACGCGTTCTCTCACGGTGACCAAAAAATGTCTCAGAGGCACCTCCGGAGGCAGGCCGCCGCCGCACGCCGGCGACACAACTCCAGCTGTCGAACTGACCCGCAGCTCCTCTTCAGAGCGGCGGATCGAACTGTGACGAAAGATGACTGAGGCGGTTGTCAGGAATCATCATACGAATCACATGATGGCTCTTTCATGACGGGAGGCCGCCCGACCACTCCTGGGTGGCACTGCCACCGGTGTCGCTCGACGTCCTGTCGACAGCGTGCCGACACGGGACACGCTAGGGGACACGCGACAGCGACACAGACCATCGGTCTCCATGTGGGACACGTCGAGTATCGCGACCTCTACTGCTTACCCAGCCTTCGAGTGTATCCTGGCTGTGGTCCCACACCCACTGGTGTCCATCTCAGAGACCGCAGGAGGTCATGAGGGTCGATGGGAGTGCCAACCCCACAATGCCTAAAGTAAAGACCCCCAGCCCAGTAGCTGGTTCGTGGTTGTAGTTGGCTGCTCCCTCGTTATAGTTGTGCCGCACCCGCGTCACCCCCTCTTCCACAAAGATCGCAAGGGCGGGGACCTGTTCCTTTTTACCCACCTCACAGTAGAGAGGTGTCCGTTTTCATTACCTCCTTCACCTATACGTTGGCTACAACATGTACATGTACGTATGTACGAGCTCGTATGCCACGTCGCCGCCTCTGTTTGGGGGTTTCTATGTTTGCGATTTGGAATTTGGCATTTGTCCAACTCTTTGTTTATTTATTTACCCTCTTCCTAGCCAGCGGCACGAGGGCTTCAGCCACACAGCTCTGAGCCCTGGCTGTCAGGCTGTCAGGTGCTGTCAGGTGATCTGTCGGGCTGTCGGGCACTGTCAGGCACTGTCAGGTGCCTCTGTCAGACCAGCTGTCAGGTGCTGTCAGTGCTGTCAGGTGCTGTCGGGTGTGTCTGACAGGCGAGATGATCTGTAGCTGTCGGGTGCTGTCGGAGCTGTCGGGTGTTGCTGTCAGACGCTGTCGGAGCTGTCAGAGCTGTCAGGCTGCTGCTGCTGTCAGACGTTGGGCTGTTACTGTCAGATGCTGTCAGGTGGTGCTGTCGGGCTGCCCTAGCTGTCGGGGTGCTGTCAGGCTCTGACACACACCAGCCACACTTATGACACTATCAAGAGGAGACCAGCGGGTACGCAGCTGCCCCCCTCCTACGGCGTGATCACGCCGGCAGGGGCGGCCGCCTGGGGAGCGCAGATGGCGGCGCAGAGGCACAGGCGGCGGCGGCGGCACAGACGGCGGCGGCCACCCCCACCCAGACGCCCTAGGCATATGACTGTAGGGCCCCAGAAGGCTAGCTGGTAGCTTCATTTGTAGTAGCACAGCCGCCGGTGCTGGAGAGGGGTCCGCAGAGGTGGGGCGGGAGGGTTGAAAGAGAGACCCATGACCATCCCATGACTACATGGACATGGACCACACTCACATGTCTTTGCATGTAATTTTGTTATACCCTCATGGGGCACAAGAAAGAGGCTCTACGGGGTCTGTGTACGGTCTGTGCTGCTGTCAGGCTGTCAGCGCTGCTGTCAGGCCACTGTGTGCTGTCGGGCTGTCAGGCAGCTGTCAGGCTGTCACGTTAGGGCCTGACAGCGACGGGTCACCTCGCCTGTCAGGCTCTGCTGTCAGGCTGTCAGATACGTGCTGTCAGACTGTCAGAGAAAGTGCTGTCAGCGCTGTCAGACTGTCAGAGAAAGTGCTGTCAGCGCTGTCAGGCTGTCGGGCACTGTCAGTCTCTGTCAGACCAGGGCTCAGACACAGCTACCACAAGGGAACGCGACCCCGACCGCCACACAAAGCACCAAAGTTAGGCATACCCCCCGGCGCAGTGTCCCCACTATGTGTCGTCGTTCGTCGGGGCACGCTATCCTGTGCAGTCAGGGCAAGTGGGGGCGGGGTGGAGTGCCCATCGTCTTTACGTTGGGACCTCGTCTGTGCCCAGTCCGGGGGTGGGGCGTCGAACCTTCCATCACCCTGGGGGAACGTCCGGGTGTTGGAAGTAAAGATATATTACTTTTTTTACCCTCTTCCAATCTCCGCCCGCGAAATCACACAAAGTTGTTTAGCCCTCCCCTCTCCTCGCTCCGCCACTGCCTTCGCCACCACGCGCGGAGCCGCCGCCGCCGCCTCCTCTGCTGCTACCGCCGCTTCCGCCGCCGCCTCGGCCGTCGGTGGCCCACGCCTCAAACTCGCGGTGGCTCCTGCTGATCCGGGAGAGAACCGCCGAGAGCGGCTTGTCGTGCGCCCGGCAGAGCGCGACGCGCGGCCGGTACCTCCGCTCGAGGGAGTAGCCTAGCAGGGCGGGCATCATGAGCACCTGGCGAGGGCGGCGCGAGAGGGTGTGCGGAGAGGCAAGAGAGGCGTGCGGAGGGGGGCGGCGAGGGGCGGCGAGGGGGGGAGGGGTGGCCCCTCGCGGGGCGGGCGGAGGGGGCGGGGCGGGGGCCTTGGCGCGCAGCTCGTTCGGCGAGAGCTCCAGCGCCTCCTGCAAGTACTGCAGCTTCGGCGCCAGGTTTGCGTCGTAGCTGTAACCGAGCACCGCAGGGTAGAGGAGGACGAGGCGCCGCAGCGAGGAGGCGCTCAGCTCGAGGCGCGCCTGCGGCCGCGGAGAGGAGGAGGAGGGGCGGCGGCGTCGGGAGCAGGCCCCAGCCCGCGGGCGACGGGCGCGGCTGGCGAGGCGGGCGGCGAGGCGGCCTGCAGCTTTGCGAGCGCAGGCTCGATCTTTGCCTCGAAAGAGTAGGAGAGGACCTGCGAGCGGCACCGGCGGGGAGAGGTTGCGCCCCCTGACGCCCGGCTCGCACCGGCGCGCGGGTGGGTGGGCACCGCCGGCTGCCCCACCACCACCCGGGCGAGCTCCTCGTCGCAGAGCTGCAACCGGCGCTGCAGCTTGGAGAGGGAGGGAGCGACGTTGGCGTCGTAGCTGTAGCCGAGCACCTGCGGCTGGGCGATGACCACGCGACGCAGCTGCGACTCGCTCAGGCTCAGGCGCTGCTGCAACGCGGCGAGCGAGGGCGCAAGGTTGTCCTCGTAGCTGTAGCCGAGCACTGTCGGATACGCCACCACGACTCTGCGGAGCTCGCCTTCGCTCAGCCCGAGCCGCGCCCTCAGCAGCTCGCAGTTGGCGGCCGAGAACTCGGCCGAATTGACCGCGTCCCTCGCCGCGCGAAGCGTCGAATCCATTGCGGCGAAGACCCACGCCTCCCCGTCCTCCGGGCCGATGGGTGGCGCGGCCTCGGTGCAGGCGAGGCGGCACCGCAGTCCTCGCCCGAGCGTCGGCACCCCCAAGATCGCCGACGCTGCCGAAGAAGAAGCCACGGCGAGCGACAGCAATCGTGCAGGCTTCATGACAACCGAGCGGCGAGCGGCAGTCCAGGGCGACGAGTTTCTTTTTGTGCGCTTGAACGTTTTCGGGTTTCTGAACACCGAAGCACACGGGACTCTGCGGCACGCACTGGCACACGGACACGCGGACACGGGAGAAACTCTGCAGTGGCGTGAAAACGACTCTCCGCACGCCGCCGGGTTCGCACCCCCGTACACTCTGCACACTCATGTCTCGGTCTCGCGCACACATGAGACTATCAGCCTGTGAGCGATGAGATCTTCCGGTGCGCTGCCATGCGAGCTGCATGCGCTGCGCACCGTCCTCGTCGACGATCCCGCCTCCCCGCCACCACACCCCGCCACTGACCCTTTGTCGTGCCTCTCGCCCTTGTCCCGGCGCTTCACGCCTTCAGGAGCTGCGCGGAGCCAGAGCGGGCGGACCCAGGCGGGCTTCTCTTGGACAGATCCCCCTCATGGCCCATGTCACGGCTCGAGATGCGGCAATGGCTCACGCCGCAAGAGGCGTCGCCATGCCCGCGGAGGCAGCCCTCCGGCGGCTCGGTCGAGACCACCGCGGCCGGCTTCATCGGGCACTCGGCCGCCCGTGTCACAGCCTCGTGGTGGATGTTGGCTCTGATGGCGAGCGGCTTGGGAAGGAAGGAGGTGCCGCGCTGCTGCGTGCCACCGTAGAGGCCGCCGGCGCCGAGCACCTTTTGGGTCCGGCAGGTGGTGTGGGGCGGCCGCGGTGTTGGGACTGGGCCGGGCAAAGAGGGGGTAGGAGGGGGCGTGCCTCGAGGCGATAGTAGTACAGGCAGAGGAGCATGTAGACAGCCGCGGCGCAGCTCAGGAGGTGCCACACGTTGTGCAGCGGCCATAGCGTCGGCATCGCGGCGCAGAAGCGCTCCTCAATCTCCCAGGCGATGCGCCCGAGGGCGATGCAGCCGATCGCCCGCACACGGCAGTAGCCGACAGCCGGCGAGCAGGACTCCATCGCGAGGCCGAGCGCGAAGAGGAGCAAAACGCTGAGCGTGAAGCCGGTGACGAAGAGGTAGAAGGTACGAGTGTACAGGTAGGCAGCCGTGAGGCCGCCCAGCGAGGCGGCCATGCCTCCCAGCAGCAGAGCCCGCCCGCGGGGCGTCCTTGTCCAGGGGTGAGCGCCGTCGGCAGCAAGGGTGGCGCAGGCGATCAACTGCAGCATCGGTAGCTCGTCGAGGAGCTCAGCGTTGTACCTCCTGTCGGATGCGCGCGTGACGCCCAGTGTCAAGTGGGCGGCAAATGCGGGCAGGTCCCCAGAGCCGGCCTAAGGCGGCAGCGAGGCTCACATGGTTCCGTGGAAAGTGATGCTGCCCAGCCCGGTGAGCAGCAGCGCCCACCACCCGCACCTCACTTGCCACACCATCCCCGCCTAACGTGACATGGCCGGGCGCTGACCACGAGTCGCTAGACTAGGGTGGCAGTGGCGTGTGTCAGGGCGCTGGAAAGTGGGCTCGGCACCGTTGACACGAGTCCGGAGAGGGCCGCAAAGCAGTAAACTGCGCTGCCGAGTGAGTTCCAGAATTCGGCTACGAATGCGGAGGAGGCGTAGTTTGGCTCGCAGAACGTGTGTAGCGCGTCCACCTCTCCCCAGTAGCCCGTCATTACGTGGAGGGCGGCCAGTGTGCAGGGCAAATGGCGGTCGCCACCCGTCCGCTACTCGTTGGTACTGCAATTGGACAGCAGGCCGGAAAACCGCCGAGTTTGACCAAATTGATGTTGTGTGAACACACCGTGTAGCGACCCCCCACACACCAAAACACCGGCGACAGTTGCTCGACGAGCTTACCGTGGGGTGGCTCCCCGCGACTGCCGCGTTCACCATCCGAGCGCTCTCTCGCCGCCCCATGCGGCCTCAAAATGCCGGTACCCCTCGCCCCGGGTCCCGCGCCAGCTGGCAGGGCTGGCTCGAATCGGTGGGCGACTACTCCTCGGAGGGCAGGCTCGAGAAGCGGGTCTGGCTGGCAAAGGACTTGTCGGGCACGGCGGACGCGCGCGCCTTTGCCGTCTTCTTCGGCTTTGGACGCGCGTACACGCTCTGCAGAAAGGCGCCAAGGAGGGCGTTGACAGCCTCGGGGTCCTCCTGCATGAGCTGGTGCGACGTGGCCCGCACCGAGTGCATCTCGGACGGGGCGCCTGAGCCGGCGAGGGAGGCGGCGGGAGGGTCCCGTGGGGTGGAGAGGGGGAGCCGGTTGCGGGCGGGTGTTTGGGCGGACGGGTCGCCGCGCAGGAGGAGAGGAGAGCGTGTAGGGGTAGGGTCAGGGCTAGGGCTAGGGTTGGGGTTAGGGTTAGGGTTAGGGTTAGGGTCAGGGTTAGGGTTAGGGTTAGGGCTAGGCGCCGGAGGAGAGGAGCGCGTGGAGCTCCGCGGTGCTCTCGGGCGGCACGAGCGCGTCGTCCTCGCCCGCGATCAGCAGGCACGGCACCTCCGCCCCGACGCTCTGTATCTCCTCCTTGCTAGGCGCAGAGAGCTGCCGGTAGTACGCCTTGCACATGAACATATCGTTGGCGGCGTTGACAGCCGGCGCCAGCCCGAGCAGGTAGCGCCGGGCGGCCGTCTTGCCGGCGCGCGTGTCCGCGTGCAGTGCGAGCGCCTCGAAGCCGGCGGAGAGGCGGGGTTGCATCAGGCTGAGCACGAAGGTTGGCAGGTAGAAGATGCTCGGAACGCGAGGCGGCTCGGCGAAGGCGCCCATCAGGCAGAGCCCGTCGATTGGCGGGCCGGGAGGCGTCGAGGCGAGGCTCGCCGCTGCGACAGCGAGTGCCAAGCTGCAACCGGCCGAGTGCGCGACAACCACCATCGTCCTTCCCGGCACCGAGAAGCGGGCCAACACCGCAGCTAGGTCGTCCCGCAGCTCTGCGAAAGAGTAGGCGTCCCACTCGGGAGGCTTCGGCGAGCGCCCGCACCCGAACGTGTCAAACGCCACCACGGCCCGTTCCTTGGCCGCGAGCGCAATCTGGTCCTTCCACTGCAAAAGAGAGCCGCAAGAGCCGTGCACGAAGAGGACTGTCTGCTCTGCGCCCGGCCGCGGCTGCGAGTGGATTGCGAGCGTGCGCCCCGGGCGCACCTCAACGAGTTCAACGGGCAACGCCTCGTGCGCAGCGTCGAGCACGGCTAGTTGGTCGGAGGAAGGTGGCATGCTGCGGTGTCGACACAGAGGCTGGCCCAGTGCGATACAAGGTCAGTGATTTCGCCAAGTCGGGGGCGCTCGGCCGTCGGGAAGAGAAAGAAATCTGCCATTACGGGTGCGAGGCGGTGGAGGTACAAGTGTTCGAAGAGAGAGTGGACCTGAGCAATGATATGACTTGGCGGCAAATGATCGCAGTGGGCGTCAGAGAGTCGTCCTTGCGCGAGGAGAGCTCGATAAACTCGAGGGGCCAAAATCTGAGGAGGCGCTCAACCTCCGCCTCCGCCCTTGCGAGCTTAGGGATTTTAATTAAGGAGAGGAGTGTGGCGCTAGAGCCTTCGCGCAGTGGGAGGATCAGACAGTTCTCCCCTGTGCTCCTACCTCACAAGGGACAGCGACAGGCTCGCAGCACGGTGCTCTCGGTCGGTGGACTCCCTGTACTCGGGGGCGGCCAGCGTGGCCTCGATGGCCGGCCACGCCGCCTCTAGCTCCGAGCCGGGCACGTCCAGGTACGTGTTGTGCCCGGTGAGAGCGCCCGCCTCGAGCCGATCGAGACGTCGATTCGGCGAGCAGCTCTGAAAGGCGGCAGCAGCTCGTCGAGCCAGCCCGCCTTGACCTCGCCGTCAAACGCGCTGCTGGGGTCGAAGCCGCCGACATACGAGTAGAAGAGCTCGCGGAAGACGAGCTCCTCGTCCGTGAATATCCGTTCACCGTCGCTCGCTGCCGGCTCCAGCCGGTGCCGTCCGAGGCGCCTCTGCGCGCTCCGCCGCCGCCGCCCTACCCTGCCACTCGAGAGCAGCGGCAGGCTCGGCGTCGCCTGTAGATATTTCACGCTGTAGAGCGCCTCTTCAGCGCTCTACATCTGCGGCGGTCCGTCACGCGCCGGATGTAGAGCTCTACATCTGACTCTACAGCGCTCCAGAGCGCTCTACAGCTCTACAGCTCTACAGCGCTCTACACTCTACATCCTCTACACCCTCCCTCACAAAGCTGTGGACGTGACTGGGGAGGCTGGTGGAGGCGCAATCGCACAAAACGACCCGGTGGGGCTGATCTACATCGCTCATCCATCGGGTGCAAGCCATTCACTGCCTCCTGACTGCCCCCCGGCAGATGTGTGCATTCGTCGCCCCGCGCCTCGAGTGTACTTGTACTTGTAGGTGGAGATCCGTACTGTTAAATGATAGTAACAGTACAGTGTGGTCGGAGGGCGGCCGGGTCGCCCCGGAGCGGCCCCTCGCGGGGAGGTGGGTGGAGGGCGGGCACCACGCCATCGTGCAGGCCGCGCGGGGACGCAGCCGGGGCCAGTGCGCGGCGCTAGAGGGCCGGGCGCAAACTTGTTTGGACCTGGGCCTGGACCTGGACCTGGGTCGGCGAGTTTTGGTGGTCCGAAATGCGGAGCGCGCAGTCCGTTGTGGCTCGAAACGCGATGCCTCCGCCGGGAGACTACACGGTCACGGAGCGACGGCGCCGGCAGGAGCGAAGACGGGCCGGCGATGCGCCGCACCCGGTCGTCGTCCTGCAGGCGACCAGCGCGTCGCTCGAGCGTGACCAGTCGCTCTCGAGAGAGCAGATCGCGATCGAGCGAGGCGGCGAGGATGGCGGCGGCGAAATTCTTTCGCGCAGTGCGCGCCAGTCCCGTGCCGCGTGCCCAGTGTCATGCGAGGGAGTTGGGTTCTAAAATTCTTTCGCGCTGTGTTAGTGCCAGTGCGCGCCAGTCCCGTGCCCAGTGTCGTGCGAGGTAGGGGCACTTGGAGCACTTGGAGTGCAGTCATCAACCTCACATCCAGGGCCGGGGAGCTAAGAAGCGCACCCAGCGGGCCGGATGATCGATATCGGGTTGCGGGCAAGAGAGCCCTAGCCCTGGGGGGTGCGCGTTCGCAGGGAAAGGGCCGTAAAGTGAACACGGGTCTCCGAGGGTTGGTCTGCGCTTTGGGTTTCCCCTAGCGGACCATCCGTTCGGCCTCCCCACCCTCGATTCGGAGGGGCTCCCCTCTCCTCCCGGTCCTCCTCCCGGCTCTCGCTTTCCGCTGGTTGGGCAGCGGCTGCGGAGCCCGCCTTCCCCTCTTATAATAAAGAAAGAAAGAAAGAATCCAGACGAGCCAAGGGAGGGATGGGAGGACGGCACGCCGCCACCACACAGGGATTTTAAGGAGAGGAGTGTGGTGCTAGCCGTCGCCCACCCTCGGGCGTCTACCTACCTCTTCCTAAGGCTATCTCTCTTTGCAGTCTCTCGCCAATTCTCGCAGCGACCTTCCATGCCGCCTCGCACCCAGCTCCCAGGGCGCAGGGGCGATTGGCGAAGATTTCTTTCTCGACCCCGACGGCCCGAGCGCCCCGACTTGGCGAAATCACTGACACCCCACAGGCCCTTCGCGCCGACGACCTAACCTCACTTGGAACAACCCATTCAAACAACCCAACCTCACACGAAACGACCTCACCCCAAAAGCACGATTCTCAAGTTGGGCCCTCAGTGTCATGCGAGGGAGTTGAGTTGTAAAATTCTTTCGCGCGGGGTTAGTGCCAGTCCGCGAGAGATTTCTTGTGCTGTGAGAGAGGCTTGTGTCTTAAGAATTCTTGCGCTCGCATGGGTCGTGTCAAGTGGGGCGCAGCGGTGGAGATCGGCGCTGCCAGCGGCAGCGGCAGCAGCAGCGTCGGCGGCAAGAAGAAGCGGTGCGCGACGGAGCACAGTCTTGGCGGAGGCTGGAGCCTCCGACTCTCGACAGGGCCGGCACTAGGCAAGTGCGCCGCTCGATCGTTGGCTCGAGCGACCCGCGCCGCCGTCAATGACGGCTCGCCGCCGTGGTGGGCCGTGCGTGGCGACGTGCCTCTGGACGAGGACGCGTCCTCGGCATGTGGCTGCGTCCTGGTCGTGTTTTCGGGCGTGCGGATGCACCTGCCGGAAAAGGTCTTCGGCGGCTCGTGGGTGGAGCTCTCGCATGCACCATCGGCTGTGCACCTCGCCTTCGAGCCGCTCGCCGCCCTCGCCGCGTGGGCACGTGCTTCGCTGGCTGCCATCGACGACCGCCGCGCCGGCCGGCCCGCGTGGAGCGGTTGGGACGTCGATGCAGAGCAAAACGCAGAGGCGGTGTTCGCGTCGGGAGCCGAGGAGTACACGCGGCGGGAGGAGTGGGACTGGTGCTACAACCCGGTGGGCTACTTCGGCACCGCACGCGCCGGCGCCGGGGCCGCGGGGTTGTGC